ACAACGGTAACTAATGATACTCAAGTATAAATCTTATTCATTTCACCTAAAAGCATAGAAGTCATGACCAGTACGGAACAGAAACATATAAAAAATGGCTACGACATATCATGCTCTATGCCCCTGAAAGACTTTTTAATCACTAAGCAATGTCTGCTGAGTTAAAGCGCAACTTTCGAGTGTGAAATAGTGAGTATAAACACACATGATAACGCCTTTGAGGTTTAAGTTTGATGAGCTGTAAAACTAACTACCTAAATAAATTGCAATGGCAACTTCAGATGACTTCTTTCAAGTAGCTCTAAACACCTATTTTAAGTACGCTGCTTCTGAGGAGGATTGTAGAGGTCTAATTTAGATGATTAACTGGTAACCCATAAGCTCGTATTAGGATAGGAACCATATAGATGAACTAGGCATTGCATTTCCGATCATTCTATAATGAGTAGTGAAATGTTAATGTGTTTTAATAAGGACCTTGTGTACTATATGTTTCACACATCAGGTAATAATAACCTACCACAAACACCTTTAGATCTCTTCAATCTCTACACGGTGACGACTAAATATAAGTTCAACAAGAACGCTGTTAAGTTTGTTTTCATTCTGTCTTCATTCTCTTCTCATCAACTCTTCTTTGTGTATTGTTTTATACTACTTATTATTATTCAGTAAACAGTTGTATTCTTAGCAATTTCTACACGAATGTTGTGACTGAAGTTTGTCGTGTCATGTTTTAAACTATTTCGCATACACTTTGCATTGTTTTGCTTGTATCTCCCCATTGAGGTTCAAGATTGCTATTGATCATACGTATAACATTTGTTGTATTTATTGTCAGAATTAAAATGTCTCCTAATCCATTTAACGGTAATTCTCACTTATGTATAGTCGTTTAAACTTTGTTTAAGGTTAGACAAAGCTATCAGCTATCATTTGCACTATCATATATCTTCATTATTCTTTATGTTCATATTGCTGGAGGTCCCTTTCCTTTTAGACTTACAGGCATGCTATGTTCCACAGATATCTCACCAGTTGTAGTCTGTAACTAATTTAAGTTTATTCTTGAAAAAAGGAATGCTTTTTAAACAAGTCACTCTTATATGAACTTCGGTTTTGCATGCACCTCAACCGTTTGATTATACGCTTCGAAAGATTTAACTACTACTGTAGATGGCGAATCAGCTGTAAGACAAGATAGTCATATCATCTACGAAATCTTTAACTTTTCATGGTAATAAATGCAAACACTTCAGGTTCATTTTACCGTCTGTATATTTCGGGATGCAAGATCAGATTAAGCGGGTAATAATCTATTATATTTTTTAATATATATATATTCGAGCGGTGAAGTCGTTTTCCTTCCCGCTGATAATAGCTCTTCGATGTACTCAGAAAATTATTTCAATCTCATTATTCCTAGCCATAGTCAACCATATAATCAAGCAGTCCAGGGAGCTGGAACTACAACAGTGGCGTATCAATTCTTCAGTACCTCTGAGCATCAGTTAATTGATAACATACATTGCTTTTGACGAACTGAGAATATGAGAATAATGTATGGGATTAAATCAATAAGTTTCTGGGACTTGACGTGGATTATCTTTTTTAGTTACGTTGTTGTCAGCCAGAAATTTATCAGCGGCAATCCCGAACTTACCTGATCACAGTCCAAACAATTGCAGTCGTCGGCTAGTTTTTCGTTCTAGTAGATAGGTCTCGTTTTATCTATAGAAGAAGTCATGATAGTTGATCAGGTATTTATTCATATTGTGGAACACAAATGTCTAGCACAATGTCCTCCTTTTCACACAAAAAGTTTACGACATATAATATAGAATAATAGGAGACACAATGCCCACACAAAATAAGGAAGTAAATAAGTACTTGGGCTATAATGTTTTGATATTAACAAGATGTTATCGCGCAACTCTTAACCAATCAACTTAAGTCGTTATAAGTCATTTAGACCCATCTGCAAAAGCTTTTGTGTTACTAAAATTATCTCGTAACGTCTGACTATACGCTGTATTTGTTTCTTCCTTGTTTTCTTTACCATCGATCCTAAGTTGAGCCGTTATCGTGTTGTGTAATAAATTTATTTATCCCAATTCGTTACATTCAACTCATAGTCTTATATCGTTTTATTTTATCTTAAACTAACTACTTTCGACACGAAGATAAACAGGGGACGAAATGTTTCTCTACTAAAGCGATTAAACTACGTCTAGGTTTGCAAATATACAATTAGAAACAGCAAAGGTTAATACGCTTATGAATACTACTGATTTAAGTATATATATATATGCACATTATTCGATAGGGATATTATATATCTCAGAGCATTTTTGTCAGGGTTTCTTATGAGCGGCCCAGCACTGGGTTTAGGACGAAAACTTCAGTGGGCTTGCCGGCTATTCCGAGTGTTTGTCGGTTGACGATTACCGGAGAGCTGTAACGGCCAAACTGCAGATATTCGATTTCAATCGAAAAACAGAGGTTTATTCTACTACACTAAAGTACTTACTTATTGGTGATGCGAGAAGCACTTTTACCCCCATTAATTACTTACACCTGTTAACCCTCGTGGTGGAGCATAGTCTGCCCACCAACATTCTCCATCCAATTCTGTTCTGCGCAATCCTTTCCACTTATTTCCAGCCACTACTCATCCTTTTCATGCTTGCTTATAATTCTCGGCTCAATGTGTGTTGGGGTGATCCAGAAAATCTCTCGCAAAAGACAAGAAAGACTCAGGAATCACTAAAAAGCATTTTATCCAATCAGCGTTCACTCGAAGTTTAGCCAGAAACATCAAGAAAGTGAAAAGTCACATCTAAAGTTATTGATTGTCTGATTACTGATACTATGTTTAGTAGCATTCCAGAATTTTCGGGAAACTCAAGGACGTTTAAGATGCTATAAAAACCCTGTATTTTCTGTACCAAAACGAACCTTTGAAGTAAAGTGCTTCTCGCATGTTCTGTGCCTTTTCTCTCGTGTACAGGTCGCTGTGTAGTTCTAGCTTGGGGGTTACGAGAATAGCTTAAGAACCGAATATAGCGTCTAATTGGCAAGACGTATCGATGTGTGAATCGGCCTTCCTCTTTTCCTCTTCACTTTAGGATGCCAAGTTAGCGATTGCCTTGTGGTGTACTTTGATGACTTTCTGTATGTATGTCCTATCCACATACAACGTCTTTTCCTAATTTCCTCCTGTGCTGGAACTTGGTTTATTCTTTCCCATAGTAGGCTGTTATTGATGGTATCTAGTTAACGGACATTGAGTATCTTGCATAGACAAATGTTCATAAATACTTTTACATGTTTAATGATGGCTGTAGTAGGACTGTAGGACCATCTTGACGTTCGTACTGAGGATTTTAACTTTGATATTGGTCGATATTTGTTTTGAATCCATCATTTGTACTCCATGGTCATATGAAAATAAGCTTGAACTTAATCTGCGTGACCACAATTCCATGCAAAACTAAACTAGGAAAATACGATATGCCTCAAATTACGGGCTATGGTATACGATTTAAGGCTTATTTGGTGGAAACGAACTCACTATACAATAAAAAATGATTGAGAAATAAAACAATCGAGTATTTGAGAGTTAAAGAGATTTTCAACAAAATTAAGTAGATTTTCTATCTAGAAGGACCGAAAAGACTGGTAAAGCTTTCGCAGTAGGTAGTTAAAAAGCAACATTGACGAACAAGTACACCCTGTAACACTGAGTTTAGTAAAACGAGACATTGTAAGTGATCCAACTGCATGTAGCGACAAGAATAAATCATTAGAGAAAACCTTCAAAGTAATGTAAGGAAGATTTGGTCAAGGAAGAAAGTAAGACATAAAATCTTTGGTCGCATGATCCTAGATAGAACATAGAAAGCAGGCAGAAAAATAAAAGCACCTCAGAAAGATCCTCAAAAAATTCATTCCGTCACATTTATTTGCACAGATGGAGTAATCTAAGTCAACCGAGTGTAGTAAATCTATTGATTCACACCACCAGAGTGCGCTGGATAGCCAACGAGGAATTGTAGGCTTAAAAGAGGACATACAAATAGTATCTCACTTCTTTCTCACTATCAGTTTGTCTTCCTTCACTATCCTGGTCAACTGATGAAATTACAACCCTTCGGTAGATAATTTCGTAAATGTTAGAAAAGTAAAGTACGTGAACTGGATTACTCTGAGTCGTCCACAAGACCATGTATTAAGCCAACACAGGCTATCTTAGTTGATGATTGGTGGTCTACTTCAGTAGGACGGGATCAGTCAGCTTGTGTCGAATTCACACCTCACGGTTAATACCTAAATCAAACTGCCCTTTCGTCACATCCAGGTACTATGGCTACTTTGATGATCTTACAACACAAACAATGTTATCACAGAAATATACTGATAAGAGAAGTTATAAAAAGTGCGCGACCACTGCTGCACAGGGCAGTCCATGGCAGTCAATTGATTGACGGGCGTTGGTCGTGGTTGACCCTAACATGAACCACCAAATTGTTCTATATTTAGTGACCATACTACTGGATCGCCTGGCAAGGGCCGTAACATTTCACGGGAATTACAAGCAGTTGAAAATTTTATTCATCATTATTTTATTTTCACTATATCTTATGGCAAACTTAACATTTTTTGTTATTGAAGCATCCCAGCCTATGTTAAATTCCATGATTTTCATGTATTAGCTCATTTTGGTGGACACGTATACGATGTTATTTCAACATATTGACTGCGTTACTGATAATTATTGTGTTCCAACCATTCCTTTAAAGTCTATTTTTAGAATCCTATTACAAACAATCGAAAGATACCTCAGTGAAACGATGCTCGCTCTCGAATTTCCACAACCTTATCGTTCTGAAACTTAAAGACAAACCAAAAAGACAGAACATCTATAGTGGTAGATAAGTCCTGAAATCAAATAATAATTCAAGTCTTCGACATTGTTGCTGATATCATTAAGTTGGCAGGAGACACTTCAACTCAAGACACTTGCTCAAACATCACGCTAGACCACTAATGGGTGCGTAATGCTACGCAAACCTTAGAGCGGTAGTCAGCTAAGTTAACATAGTATTCAATATTTCCAAATATTTGAACAATTTACTTGGAACAGGACAGTTGAGTGGTTAGAATACCTTCACTTTTATAGCTTGAGATCCTAGACCGCTTCTTGAAACCAAGATAAGAGTATGTGCATAGCGATAAGTTTATATGAACTTTTCACAAAGTTTCTGAACACCGAGATATAAACAACAGTTGTCATAGTAACAGTAAATTCAACGTTGTTGAAAAAGTCAGATGGATAATACAAAGCCAACTGGGATGCGGCGTGCATCTCATTGGTCTACTGAAGTCGAAAATGCATATAGGTTTCAGCTAGCGGGTTACAGAGACGAAGTGGAATATTTTGTAAGTTTTTTCGTTTTATATTATTTACTAATGTTTTGAGAACTATAATAATGCTGACCCAGAGAAGTGGACAAATACGGGATTTGTTAAAAAACTGAAGCGACGAGATGGTCTGTTCTACTATTTTAATAAGAATAGGGAGTGTTCAGACAAAGATATACCGAAATGCAAACTATACGTATATTAATAAACAAAATACAATTCAGTGAATAAAATCCATCAAGCTTTATTTCTAGAAATTCTTAACAGTGCGTACTCTGTTTAACAAAGGGTGTGAAAATTTTACACGAGGGTAAAGCAACAATTAATAAACTATTTCAACCACAAAACCTGTCGGTGTTTCTTCGCTTGTTGTTTATTCCTAATACAAGAGATTTGCTGCAATCCTCTGACGTTTTGGTAAGAGAAAGGCTTTTGCCGATTATGAGTGGTTGTGTTGACTGCATACATAGTCTGATCATAGTTGAAACAGATATTTTTCCTCAACTCAGTCGAAGAAGAAAGAAGAGCACTGTATATTGTTTGAAAGTTTAGCTAAATACTACATATTCATTTTAAAGAAGTCTAAAGAATGAAAAGCTTTTTTTTAATTGTGACGATGAGGATGCCCTGTTTAACCTGCAGGGTCTGGTACTATGTCAAGCCTGCACAGGTTATTCTAGCCTTTGGACAGACCAATTTATTTATTCTTCTGGAGCCGTATTTTGATCTTGTTAATTAATCGCTTATCAACCCCAACCGTTTTTACGTAAGCGTATGTATGCAAATTTCTTATCTTAAACATCACATATCTGCAGCTTATTTTTGTTCAAGTTGGCTTACTCGCCTTCTCCACCGCGCTTCAATCCGTTTCGCTTTGCCATCTCCTCTTCGTTTTCTTCTCTTCGTCTCTCTGAACGTCTATTCTGATCGACGATTGTACTAAATATACGTATTCAAAACTCCATTCTCGTATTTGAATAATTTTAATTCCGTTATTCGCTAACGCGAGTTAAATCGATAAATATGTACGGAGTTGGTGACATGTATATTTCGATGGCAATCAACATACGATCAAATTGGAGTCAGGTAATGGGTCACAAAATGTCTTGTCCACAAATGTGTTTTCTGAAGGAGCGGTGGCCATGCGTTTCGGTAAACAGTCTTCAGTCTTCTTCAGTTTTGAGTAAAAAGGATAGGAGGTCTATCAACCTATATTAATCCCTGCAGTTTGTAATACTGTGGAGGTGCAATCTCGTTTTGAATAGATTAACAGAAGGTGCTGATATTACGTGTTCCGGTAGAGAATTCCAGTAATTCATTACTCGGTGCGAGAAACGAAACTCCAAACGTAAACGATTTAATTTTTGAGCTTTCTTCGAATGTCCTCTCAAGTGATCAGTCCTAGACGGAAGTAAAAGATAAGACGTGTTAATACCAAGGTCATCGTTCAGTATACGATAAGCCAATATTAGATCACCACGTACTCTATGGTGAGATAACGAAATAAGTTAAGGTGTATCAGTCTGTTTTCATAGGATAGGCCAGATAAACCTTGTACCGTCTTAGTACCTTGTCGTTAGACTTTCCAGCATCTCTGCTTCATACTTGAAAAAAGGACTAGCTGCTTGAATCCCATATTCTAAATGTGGTTGCACGTAAATCGGGTATAGTAATCTAAACATTTCATCATTTAAATATTGGAAAGACCCACGAATTGACCATAATGCCCTATAGCCTTTCGCAGCAGCAGTCTTACAGTGACTAGTGGCTTTGAGATTACTGCTTAATATGACTCCTAAATCTTTATAGTTTCTTACTTTGGGTAGCATGAATCAACATATTGTATAGTGATATGATTCATCATAGTTATTTATTTGCATCATCACAGTCTTATTGGGATTTACTTCTAGTGACCACCTGTCCAACCAGGCCACCAATAAGCTAAGATCATTTTGTAATACCATCATATCTGACATACTGCGTAGGGGTCTCCAAATTTTTATGTCATCAGCGAAGAGTAGAACGGATGATTTTGCTACAGTTGGTAATTCATTTACATAAAGTGAAAAGAGAAGAGGACCGAGGATTGTACCTTGGGGAACTCCACTCTTTACAGGTACCCACGAGGCGAGAGCCCCATTTACCCTTACCTTTTGTCTCCTGTCATGGAGAAAGTTACTTATCCAATCTACGACTGTATAATGGATTCCAAAAAGTTCCCGTTTGAATTTAAGACCAGAGTGGGAGATCATATTGAAGGCTTTACTGTGATCTATGAAGATCACATCCACAGGAATATTCCGATCTTTTGCAGCAGCCCAATCTTCTTTTGTGATGAGAAGATTTGTCAAGCATGATAGACCTCTTCGAAAACCATGTTGTTTCCTGGAGAAAAGATTATACCCTTCAACATAGCTTATAACAGATGTCCGAATGATTTTTTCCATCAGTTTTACAAGTGCACAAGTTGAGCTAACGGGTCTATAGTTACTAACTAAATCCCTACTCCCAGCCTTATACATCGGACTTTTTATGGCGTATTTCCAGTCTCTGGGCAATTCACAGTTATATAATATACCCTTGTGGGTCAGCGTAATTTTACATTGGTTTTCAGGGGAACCAGACTGGGAAGCCTTTTACGTTTTATGTGTGAAATGACCAACATTTGACTTACCAGATATCCTATTTCTCAATGTCTCCTCACTGACACTGTGTGTCAGTAAACTTGGTTCATGAGAAGTGTTACCTAGTCACACTAACCAGGTAAGTCACGAAGTCAGTTGCGATCAATACAATTCATAGAGTATTTAACCAGTTATGGCAGGTTTTCAGGGCATGCTGTGCATCTTAAAGTACAAATCTTTCGTTCCTGAAAGCTACACAAACGAAAAATATCAATTCATAACCGTTATTTAGGTTGAAAGTTGTGAATGGGCCATCTGGAGTCTTCCTGTATAATAGTAGCTGGTTCATCATACAAAAGGTTAGAGATTGATTCACTTGCCAATTTTTAGTTCTTTCCTAACGGACCACAGTCTTTTTGAGGGAAGGAGATGGATGTTCGCATGACTCACTCAAAATGTGGGTGGACAATTGTTGTACTCAAAGTTATAGACGTCTTGGTATCCCGGTGATCGAATAAGCCATGTATTTTTTCAAAGTTTTTAAAACAGCTTCCACTTAGGATTGCGCAGCGAACTTTGAGTCTTGACTGATATCACTTCCAAGGTTACCGTGTGTTTACAAAAAAAGTAATTCAACACAAGTATTCGATAATTCTAATAATTTGTTGTAGCATTTCAGAAATCTATAGTGTTCCTTTCAGTTTGTATAACCTCATATATCTTGTTACAGTCCGCAAATATCAAGACTGAGCGGAACGAAAGACTTTGGGGATTATTTACGAATAAAAGAAAGAAGGCTAAGCAAAGATTACACTAGGAGCCTGTGTTAATCATCGCCATCTGTATGCAGCATTAAATTACTCCCAACCCGTGTTGCCTAACTCAGATAGAAGTTGGGCACATGGAACTTTACTACAACCGTTACTGAAGTGAGTGAAGATTGCATCTTTCGGTAACCTGTGACCTGGGATGCCAGTGGATGTTTCTTTGCCAATAACAACTTAGAAGCCTGAGCAACCAATTCGGAAAACATGCTATTATTTGGAGTACCAAGATCTTGCCCGATTGCTTAAATAGTTGTTTTCGAATAACCTCTTTAGAATCTTGACAACTATGTCAGCTAAACTTACTAGACAATAGTTTTAAGGACCGAACAGAGAAGTTATTTCAAAGATAGGATACAGTAGAGTATTGTTCAATTATCTAGCTAGTTTCACTGTGTCGTAGGCGTGTTTAAAGAAAGTAAAATATTTGATGGTAAGTAGTTTCGGTTTATGTAATAGCCTTGGAAGTATTTTGTCAAGTTTATTCATCAGTCCGTGGGGTGTCAAATTATCAGTTGGGCATCGTGCTTAGATTGAATTTGACCTAATCAGGGTATATACAAACGGGTGAGTGCAAAATGAACCGACATCGATTATAGTGATCATTATTTAAGATTGAACTGCAAGGGATGGGATTTGTCAAAACGCCGTAGATGTAAATGTCAATTATACTTTTAACTTTCTATAACATGTCTAAATGTTCAGTTCCAACGAATTTAAACGAATTTTCAAGTTTTCGGATGAGTAAGGTTAATTTCCTTTGCCATCCTATTTTAGGAAGATATCTGACAACTGATGTGTGAATGTTGCACAATACAATTTTCCAAATTTGACCACAGTGGTCTCCTTATCTTGATGTTCAAATGGTTTCAAAATAGTTTGTTAGTACTTTGCTTTTTTCCCCACTTTCTGTGCATAATGGTTACTCGATTAAACCATCAAACTCAGATACGACATCAGCAACCGGTAGTGAAGGTATTACTGCCAACTGACAGATATGGACATCGAACTTTCTGTCGGTTGTTTAATGTTGTTGATGTCCTGTTTGTCGGAGCTTTTGACATATAAATTGTCTCAGATGTAATGGAAAACATTAATGTACTTCATTTCGACACTCGTTGGAATGCCGATAAACCTGAATGTTCGTAATCGATCTTGCTAATTAGTGGATTTAAAGTCAGGAGTTCATCCGATTTTTAAAAGATGTGTACATACGAATTCATGTCTTTGTCTCACATTAAACTGGAAATTAGGCGAATAATAAAATTGAATTCCGTACAGTGAATTGTGTATACCTGAGTAAACAAAGGCGAGGCAGTCTTGAAAATTACATTAGCATACCAATAAGAACACTGCTTTAGGAATGCCAGATTCCGAGTTATAGAGGAGATTAGGTTCATTTTTCACTGAGTCCATCATCTTGTGTAAGTAAATTTTATTATTTCACAGTCGCCTGATATTCCAAAGGTAGGGTCAACGTAACCAATGAATTTGGATTTGGCATTGGCAACTCATGGTCATAATGAGTGTCAAATTTTCTGCTTGACCCGAAAAGAAGCTGAAAGTTGAGATGATACTGCATCGACCATACTGAAAAATGTCATAGCTAGGACATGATCTCTCTTTTCTGCTAATGCGAATACTATTAAATTCCAGCTACAAAAAGATTTTGTACAACTTGTCCACTTCACAAGCTTAAAAATAGTATAAACTATAATATTTGTAGAATACAATGAAGTGATTATGTTTCATGTATTCTTTCCCACCAAATATAAGTTAGTAAATCAAGTTCGATGATAATATTAGCGTACAACCTTTAGGAATTAATTTTTTCAGTGATCAGTAAATTTGCGATGATCTTAAATGAAAGCCCTTTAACACTGTTATAATATGTAACTATAGTTGTAATAATAGAATGTAGTTATGTAACAAAACAGAAGATTTATAAAAAACACAAAAAGGTAAGACAGAAAATTAAATTGGGACCGCTGAACAGTGTTAATGATTTTTTGAAACATAAAATTAACCTATTAATATAGGTTCTTTTTGTACTTAGGGAGTTGGAACTGAGCCAGTCTCCTGTTAAACACAAAAACGATATTTATGTTTCATAATTTCTATAGCCTCTGCGAATTTTGATAAAAAGCAGTTGTATTGAATATTTTGGATGATCACACTGTATATATCTTTATTCCATACTGAACAGATGGCCCCTAACCGAACTTTCAAAAGCGTTTTCTCTTCTATGTCGAAATTTCTTGGGAATATGTTCTCTGAAATCATGAATTCTCCTACTCAGAATAATTAATCAACAAAAAGGAAAATTTTCAATATGAGATCGTGAAGATTGTTTAATTTCATTGAAATCGTGAACTGAACTAAACCAGATCACCATTGAAGATCTGGAGGCACTGGACAAAGAAAATGATATGATAGTTCGGAAAGCTAATTCTTAAAGCATTCATTCACCTGTCAATTTACATTGTTTTATAATATCATTTACCTAGTGACCGGATAACACTAGTTACTCAAATAGTTCCTATTAAACAGAAGCAGTGATTTTATGTTTTATGTGGTCCGAGATAATTCCAAAAAGTTTAGAAAACATAGAGAAGTATGATATTTAGTTCGATAGGTAGCTGAAAATCATATCAATATAGACTCAGTTTTTCCAAACATATGAAGAAGGTCACCGAGTGATATGGTTAGAGGTCAATCGAACAAAACAGTTGATTAGAATCTAGAGATATACAAAGTTGCCGGAGCATACAGAGACAGCAAAAATAACCATCAAAAAACACTAGTTCAGCTCATATAATGTAATTCCGAAAGACTCATTTTCACTTTAACTGGGTACCGATGATGATGTCCAATAAGAAAAAAGATGGAAGATCCTGTGTTGAACCATGTAGCTCGAAATACAAGAGTTTGCCAAAAATGTAACAAAATTTCTTTTTTTTTACAAATCTCAGTAGTTACCGTTAACCAACTTATGCTTAATTGTCTAAAAAGCATTCATGACAGGAAGTTCAGATTTCACTCATCTTTTTTAAAAATAATGTATATTCAGACGTTTACTAAGTATGAATTGTCATGGATACTTAGTTATTCTAAGAAACAAAATCTCCAAAGCAACATAAAACATAATCAATTCAAAGAAATATTAGCATTTTTTATTTAAACATGAAAAAGAAAAAAAATATTTTTTAAGCGTAAATATTTCTAAAATAACATTATAATTAATTAAGATTAATAACTCAATTTGTATCATTATTAAGCTGAAAAATAAAATAAAAACATCATATTGAAGAATATATACCATTTGTTCATTGAAATCTTTAACATTAAACAATTCTATTAATTTACCATAGAAATGATTCATATTCAATACAAAGTTGAATTATTTCCCTTTAGCTGATTGTCGTTTTTCTTTAAATAATGAAAATAAATTAACAGTATAATTAAATAATTATATCTGATAATGTAAAATTACTAAATGTGATTCATTAAAACATTTGTTTGAAAAGTGCGGTTTATTATTGAATATTGAATTGATCATTTGAATTAATAGTATTGTTTATGATTGAAACATTTAATTCTTATATAATAATTGATAAATAAATATGTAAAATAAATAAGTTTTTTTTAATTATTGAATATAGCTAAATGTTTGTTTGTTTTAACTGTTGATATATATATATGTATATAAATATTTTGAAAATTTGCTTGTTTAAATTGTTTACTTCATTATCTTTTGAAAAGAATAGAACAAATTCAAACTGAATAGGAATATTATTAACTAAAAAGAAAACACTTCTAAAATGTCTCTGTTTTTTAAAATTGATTTATTTAAATAAATTCAATGTTGTTTTTTATTTATTTATTGGAAGTTGTTATTGGCTTTTCATGAAACCTGATAACTATAATGAAAGTATAGAAAAGTAATAAAATGATTAGATAGAATAATGATATTTTTGATTTTGAGGAATAAAACAAATATGTATATCAAATATTTATTATCTTTAATTCTATTTAAAGTTTAATTCAATGAACATTAGAAAGTATATTATACTAGTTATGAAATACATGACAAATTTGTATTATCCATATTTAGTTTCACTGATTGAAATCATGAGTCAATTGAAGCTAGACCACCATGGAAAACCTGGAAGCACTGGATGGCATGAACACCGTTGGATGCCGGCTCAGTGGTCTAGTGATTAAGTGCTTGCGAGCGAAACCAGTAGGTTCTGGGTTCTAATCTCGTAAGGGGCGAGGTAATGAATGCGCACTGCTGAAGAGTCCCATACCAGGACGAAACGGCCGTCCAGTGCTTCCAGGTTTTCCATGGTGGCCTAGTTTCGATTGGCTCATGATTTCAATCAGTGAAATTTCTAAAATTTCTACAAAACCTCTTCTCATATTTAGTTGTTCATGATTAAGTTAGTCATCGATTTTCTGAATGAGTATAAGATGAACAGTTACTTTAGAACTTATTCTTAATGTTGTTGAAATTGTTTATCTTTAGGGTTGTTTTCAGTGTCCCCCGGTGCCCTGGTACGGTTGAGGGTTAGGTGAGTTCACCTTCACTCTCCAAACGCTCTAGCATGGCCACGTGTATACAGCCACTGTCACGGAAGTCCTACTCAATGCCTTCTCGAGGCATTACTGTCGTTTACGAAATTGAGAGAACGAAAAGCGAATGTCCGGCGCTCTAACTGGGTTGATGGATATGGAGGAACCACCTAGGGGAGTTGGGAAACCCTGATTTTAAACCAATGGTGCACATGGGCTTCAGGATCCTGAGGGGACGAATGGCTACAATCGGACTGCATCTCCTGACATTGCTCCACTGCCTTGTAGATCAGACCTTTAGGTCGAAGGCTCCAAGAGTGGCTGCCTAAGAAAACCACCTTCTTCGGTCTTGGCACCCAGGCAGTACCACACCTCACACACAAATCAAGTGACTTGTGTGGTGCATATGTATTCGGTTCCCCTTTGTACCATTATTTATATGATCAAACAAATAAATCTTAAACAGAATTTAGTTGATAGATCAGTGAACATAAGACAGCATCGGATAACTGATTGATACTAGTTTGAAACTCATCAAGGTTGAGCAGCGACGACCAAGCAAAACAATGACTTTCAGATCACAAGACTTTGAGTCAATGCATGATGAAAACTATACCAAAGTTGAACTCATTTCTACAGGTAACCAAATAAACAATAATACTGTGAATTTCAGTATGATTATATTATGCTAAATATTGAGGAGTTTTGAGATAAATTCTGAATTTCTAATATGAAGTCTTAATCGATGAACTCTACTTATGCCTGAGTTCAAACGCCAGTTGATCGTCTCACTAAATATCTAAGTAAACAAGTAGGAAAATGTGAACCATTGTATTCTGTAGCTGTAGTTAGATGTTCACCCCGAGACATAAAAGTGATAGATTAAATCTTTGTCAAAGTCCCGAGTGAACATTAATAAAATTCTTGAACTCTGATGAAGTGATTTGCATTTTTCGGATAGTTTATATTTTCAAATTTATTTATCAGGTTTCTGTAAATCCCGCTTAGAACCCTTCTAGGATTACTGCTGATCCTCAATTCGGGTAATCGAGAGTTCGGTATGAGGTTAGCAACCTCATCCTGTAAAAAGAAAATTCACTAAAAAGGGGGTGACCAGAAAAAGATCACTTACACTCGGCTCTGTCATTTCCAAGGTCTAAATTCATAAGAGTTACAATGCCACACGGTGAAAGCCGAGATTTTTCAGAAGCCACAATGCCGATGACCCTTTTTGACAACCTCAGTGATAATCAATATGGGTATGTAGAGTGTCCACACAATGAGGAAGACCGGAAGACTATTCAAATAATGGCGGAAACCAGAAGATACTAAGTGGCTCTGCTGAGGATAAGTGTAACCCATTATTGCACAAGCTGAATAGAAAGACTAGCTTTGGGAGAGAAGCTGCTTTATTTTAGTAGTGAAGAGGAAAATGCATCACACACTGAAGGAGGTGCACTAATGCTATCTAAAGAAGCAGGAAAGCACTTCCGGATGGGAATCTCGTAACTTCAGGACGGTCAAAATATCCGTCAAAGCAGAGGAGGAAAAAATGCGATCCATTGCTGCGCACTCTGCAATGATGACAGTGTAGGGGATAAAAATTAGTATTGTGAGGCCGGAGTTCAACGTAGAGAACTGCCCAGGAAAAGAGCTGACCAACCTGATGGTAGACCTGAACGCTAAGTTCTCTATGGACAACACTGAGTAGGAATAAATAATGAAGCGCTATGGACTGGGAAGGTTCATGTAAGAAATGTGGACAAAAATGAGGAGATGATATAAATTTAGGTCACCATCCGGTGGTGGCCGAGCTAAAGTCAAAGATGAAAACGCATTCGAAAATTGGACAAGCAACAACACAAAAGTTTAACACACTTCTCTGTCGACAATTTAACAAGCTCAGAGAATGCAAAATAACTCTCAACAACTTTCACGTTTTGCGGGATCTTTTAGAAGAAGTGGAAACCACTACAAAGAGCAACTGGAAAGCGATTAAAGAAGCGAGAATTTTAAAATGCTATGAAGTGCTGGAGCCAAACAAGCACCAGCGTAAAGAATGGATTACTGCAGATATCCTGGACAACATTCAAGAAAGGAAGACCAGGAAGATAGAAGTCAGCAATAAATAAACAAAAGCAAAGAAAGCCAAGACACAAGATGAATATACAAAGGCGACCAAATGAGTAGAAAAGAGTATTAGAGCTGAAAAACTCAAACACCAGGAAGACATAAGAACGATAGAAAAGAAATAACTCAAGAGAATCAAATATGAGACAACGTTATGATAAAAAGAAAGAGCTAGCAAGAAAATATGGTAAACCAGAGAGACCATTCAGAACAAATAAGGCATACCAGCCACTGCGATTCAAGAACAGCGGACCAGGTGGGTAGAACAATTTGACTGATTCAGCCCTACTATACCCACTGGGCATCAAAGCGGAACCTACAGACCTTTCTATAGGTTTTTCTCTATCGAAAATAAGTCACCAAGGTCATCAGACAAATCAAGAGTGGGAAGTAGTAGTGTGGTTTATGCTATTTATGTCTGTCGAGATAAGTAGTATATATCACCAATCAGAAGTGGAATGCATGGTAGCAGAAGATTGAGAAAATCATATCGAAGAGAACGGAAACAGAGAGTAATATTTATGATGGTAAAGGAACGATGAAGCTTGAGACAATTAATGAAAGAGTTGCAAATAGAGTATTGAACGTATGGTTTTTACATTTTACCAAAGGACTCCAACTCCAGGATTGTGTAATCGTCTGTCATATATAAACCCCAAATTATTGTTGAACAGTGGATTGGATGTAAGTCATCACTATACATTGACGAGCCTTAATATAATAAGGTATTTGACAGTGTAGGTAAGATAATTGTGTGGAATCTTTCGCTACATTATACTTACGCTTGTTACTCCTGGTGAAGGAACATAGGCCGCTCATCAGCATTCGCCATCCAACTCTGTCCTGGGCAATCCTTTCGTGCTCCTTCCAGTTGTTATTCATCCTTTCCAAATCTGCTTTTATTTCCCGACGTAATGTATTCTTTGGCCTTCCTCTTTTCCGCCTTCCTTCAGGATTCCAAGTTAGGGCTTGTCTCATGATGCAGTTTGACGATTTGAGTAGTGTATGTCCTATCCATTTCCATCGTCTTTTCCTAATTTCTTCTTCAGCTGGAAACTGGCTTGTTCTTTCTCAGAGAAGGCTGTTTCTGATGGTATCCGGCCAATGGATGTTGAGTATCTTGCGTAGACAGCTATTTATAAATACTTGTACTTTCTTGATTGTGGTTGTTGTAGTTCTCCAAGTTTCAGCTCCATACAGTAGAATTGCCTTGACGTTCGTATTGAAGATTCTCACTTTGATATTGGTTGAAAGTTCTTTTGAGTTCCATATGTTCTTCAATTGTAGGGATGCATTCCTTGCTTTGCCAATCCTCGCCTTTACGTCTGCATCTGAACCTCCTTGTTCATCAATTACGCTTCCCAGGTATGTGAAGGATTCTACATCTTCCAGAGTTTCGCCATCAAGTGTGATTGGATTGCTGTTCTCCGCTTTAAATTTGAGGACCTTGGTTTTCCCCTTGTGTATGCTGAGGCCTACTGATGCAGAGACTGCTGCTACACTGGCTGTCTTTATCTGCATTTGTTCATGTGTATGCGATAGGAGGGCTAGGTCATCTGCAAAGTCCAAATCGTCTAATTGATTCTGAGCTGTCCATTGTATGCCGGATTTTCATTCAGATGTCGAGGTCTTCATAATCCAGTCGACCACCAGAAGAAAGAGGAAGGGAGAGAGTAAACAGCCTTGTCTGACTCCGGTCCTTACTTGAAATGCATCTGTCAGCTGTCCTCCATGCACGACCTTGCACTGTAGTCCGTCATATGAGTTCCGGATAATGTTGACAATCATCTCAGGAACACCGTAGTGTCGTAGAAGTTTCCATAAAGTCATCCTATCTACACTGTCAAACGCCTTTTCATAATCAATGAAGTTGATGTATAGTGACGAGTTCCACTCAATTGATTGTTCGACGATGATCCGTAGTGTCGCAATTTGATCTGTGCACGGCCGATCCTTACGGAATCCAGCTTGTTGATCTCGAAGTTGGGCGTCTACTGCATCTTTCATCCGGTTCAGCAAAACTCTGTTAAAGACTTTTCCTGGTACTGACAGTAGTGTGATGCCTCTGTAGTTTTCACATTTGCTCAGATCTCCTTTCTTTGGAATCTTGATGAGGTGCCCTTCTTTTCAGTCCATCGGCACTAGTTCCTCCTCCCAAATCTTTTTGAATAGAAGGTGAAGCACGTTTGTAGTTTGATGTCTAACTTCAGTGCTTCAGCTGGTATATTGTCGGGTCCAGCTGCTTCCCCGATCTTGATTTGTCTGATGGCCATTTTGATTTCTTCCGTCGTTGGTGGATTGACATCTATAGGAAGATCTGTGTGCGCTGCTTCGATGTCCGGTGGATTCACTGGGGCCGGCCTATTCAGGAGTTCCTCGAAGTATTCTACCCATCTGTTTCGCTGTTGTTGAATTTCAGTGATTGGCTTGCCTTCTTTGTCTTTGACCGGTCTCTCTGGTTTACTGTATTTCCCTGCTAGTTTCTTCGTTGTATCGTAAAGTTGTTTTATATTTCCTTCCTTTGCAGCTTTTTCCGCCGTCGTTGGTAGTTCTTTCACGTATTTCTTCTTGTCGGCTCTAATGCTCCTCTTCACTTGTTTGTTTGCTTCTATGTATTCAGCTTGTGCTTGGACTTTCTCTGCTCGTGTTCGGCTGTTGTTTATTGCTGCCTTCTTGTTCTTCCTTTCTTTGATCTTGTCCACTGTTTCTGTAGAGATCCATTCCTTATGATGGTATTTCTTTAGAACCAGAACCTCTTGACACGTTGAAGTTAATGCTTCTTTGATGCCTTTCCAGTTGTCCTCCATAGTAGTTTCTTCTTCTTTCAGTAGATCCTGTAAGGCTTGGAACCTGTTGTTGAGAGCTATCTTGAATTCATTGAGTGTGTCAGTATCTCGAAGGAAGGCTGTATTGAACCTTTGTAGTGCTGTTTGCCAAGTTGTCCAGTTTTTCTTTTGCTTTAGTTTTAAATTGGCCACAACTAAGTGGTGATCTGAAGCTATATCAGCTCCTCTCCTGGTTCTCACATCTTCCATTGTCCTTCGGATTTTTTTATTGATGCAAATATGATCTATCTGGTTCTCTGTAGTGTGGTCCTCAGAGATCCATGTAGCTTTGTGTATACGCTTGTGTGGAAATATTGTGCCTCCTATGACCAATTTGTTGAATGCACATAGATTTGCAAATCTTTCTCCATTTTCGTTTCTTTCTCCTAGTCCATGTCGTCCCATAATATCTTCCTATCCAGTGTTGTCTATTCCGACTTTGGCATTTAGATCTCCCATCAGAATGGTGAGGTCCTTTCTTGAACATTTCTCTATGATTGACTGCAGCCGCTCGTAGAATTGATCTTTAATGTCGTCGTTGCTATCATTGGTGGGTGCATAACATTGGATAATATTCATTGTGATCCCCTCCTTCCTTGTTTTGAATGATGCTTTGATGATTCTGGATCCGTGAGATTCCCATTTTACAAGTGCATTTCGTGCTACTTTGGACAGCATTAGACAACTCCCTGAGTGTGCGGAGCATTTTCCTGTTCATGACCGGAGTATAGTAGCATCTCTCCCGTAATTAGCCTTTGTTGTCCAGCTTGAGTCCGATGGGTTTCGCTGATTCCCAATACTACCAAGTTGTATCTCCTCATTTCCGCTGCTATTTGACTGGTGTTCCCGGTTTCCAACATTGTTCGGGCGTTCCATGTACCCATAAAAAGTTTTGTTCTGGTTGTTAGAAGGGGCATCGACCTTGTGGCTTCCGAAGGAACTCGGCTTTCACCATGAAGCGTCATAATCCTTCTAAATGAAGACCTTCTAACTTTCAGGGCAGAGTTTAAATAGTTTGAATAATTTTTTCTGGTAAGCGTTTTTTTAGCGAGTTAGTTTTCTACGGGATGGGGAGGCTAACCCCATGCCCAACCCTCCTCCTTTACCCGTGTTTGAGACCGTCAGTAACTCTGGAAGTGCTACAGGCGGAGTTTTTACTACATTATGGTGCTTGTGAAAAGATCGTCAACATAATACGGAACTCTTAAGAGGGACCAAATTACAAAGTTGTGCGCAAAAGGCAGCTCTTATAGATGCATTCAAGTTGATGATTGGTGTCAGAAAAACCGCTTACTCTCACATTTTCTATTTCTTCTGGTTGTTGGATGGATTATGAAAATGTTCACATCTCAGGGAAACCATGGAATACAATGGAGAGTTGGATGCGGCTAGACCTTTTGAACTTTATAGATTACCTAGCTCTTCTATCCTATGCACAACAAAACATTCAAGTGAAGACAGCTAGTGTAGCAGCAGCCTCTGCAGTAACACACATCAATATACACAGGGTAAAAAGCAAGATACTGAAGTACAGAACCGCCAGCACCAACCAAATCACACTTGATGGAGGAGCTCCGGGTGATGTGGAAAAGTTTACATAGCTGGGCAGCATCATTGGTAAACAAGATGGATCTGATGAAAATGTCAGGGGAATGATCGGCAAAGCAAGAACACGATCCCTACAACTGAATAACATATGGAATTCAAAACAACTTTCAACCAATATCAAAGTCAGAAGCTTCGATATGAAAGTCAACAAAGTTCTACTGTACGGAGCTAAATCTTGGAGAACTACTACAACCATCATCAAAAAGATCCAAGTATTTCTAAACAATTGTCAACACAAGATATTAAACATCCGTTAACCAGATACCATCAGTAACAGCCTACTATGGGAGAGGACGAACCAGTTTCCAACTGAAGAGGAAATTAGGGAAAGATGATGGAGTTGGTGGACAGAATGTACATTGAGGAAATTATTAGACTGCACCACATTGAAAGCCCTAACTTGGAATCCGAAAGGCAAAAGAAAAAGGGGCATACTAAAGAACCCGTTGCGCCAGGACTTGGAGTCCGACATGGAAAGAATGAACAGAACTTCGAAAGAACTGGAATGGAGGGCAAACGACAGAGTTGGCTGAAAAATTCTGCTCAGTAACTTATGCTCCAATAGGGGTGAAAGGCATAGCTGAACATGTTGTTTGTGGAGTCTTTACCTGATATTGCATATTTTTTCGTTTGGATAAAGTTATATTTCAAATATTCACCTCTAACAACGATTAAAATTAAAACTAACGAAATCCAAATAACGTTAATTTTTTCATGATCTTCGGAAGGTTTTGTAAATTTTTACAAAAAAAAATTTAGGATTCACAGATATAAACATGAAGGATATATCAAAAATAAAGCTCATTAAGGAACATGGAAAATATATGAATTTCTGAAACGAGGAATTTAAAAAGGATGTTAGGCAATCAAAATTATCACTTACATTATTTAACCTCCGATCATGACAACTAAGTCATTGGATAACGCTCGAGTAGCTCCTGAAAGACCTTCACAATTATATATTCCATCATCTCCTGGTCTTACATTTGAAATTGTCAGGGTACTCACGACAGTTGGCATTGGTGCATTACAGTTTCTGGGTACATTGCTTATTCTGAAACGACTGGGTTCCTCAGGAAGACATCCCCAATTAAAGCGCCATATCACATAGGGCACAGGATTGCCTGTGACTTCACAAACGAGAACTACAGTATCACCTCTACGAACAGAATAACGTGTAGTACGTGGTTCGGCAATCATTGGCGGAGCTATAAAGTAGTGATTACAAATTAAATTAGTTATTCAAAGCAATCAAACAAGAATAATACTAACATACCAACTAAATGCTTTTAAAGACAGTTTGTTTAACGGTAATATTTTATAAATCATTATTGTAAGTACTCGGATAGTCTGTGATAAGTGATTAGGGATTATGGTATGTTGAATTTCCTTGAATAACAATATTAGGTAAAAACGATGAAATATTTGGATTTATAATAATCGCATACTTTAGTTTATAGTTATTGGACCTGATACTTAGATCTTGATAGGAGTAATAGTGTTACACATGAAACTGATTCATAGTTTATATTTTCCAATTTTATACTGATAGATGATAAAGCCTATGATTCTTTACGGTTGCAAATAAAATGGTGTCATAATTGACAGAAAGCACCTAAAGTAAGTCTAAACGACCTAGGTAGTTATCTTCAAATATGCAAATTTGACTAAGTTCATGAATATACTAAAGATTCTAAAGCATCTCTCTCAGAAGAGAATAATAATTTAGGTGATGTTAATGATATTTTTGTATAATCTTTATGAAACTGTTGAAGAGTTATTCAGTTTATTTTGAACCTTATAATCTTATGGATCATTTTCGCGGCTACTACAAAACAATAGAAGCTAGTCTTTACTTACCATTAAGAATTTGATTATGAACACAGTTTGATAACTGGTAATTAGGCAGAGGCATCTATTAATCAGACGTATTGTTTATTATTATTCTAAATGACTTATCAATGTAGTCCACGCCACTTCATTCAGTCGCTTAGCTACAACATAGGACCAGGGACATATATGCATCAATCCAAGTGGTCATGCCTCAATAGCACAGCAAGATAAACATCAAATTCATATAAGCAGATACTGCAATGATAGTAATATATATGTAGACAAAGATCGCATTTAAGGATATGCTACAGGAAGAAAGAATTGGTTCGTAGAAAGAAAGGTATGAAGTAATTTTAATGTTGAAACGATTTTAATCTCATAGTTTAGGGGAAGACAAAGAGTGTATACATCCACGCCATTGTGGTCGATTCTGAGCCATGTCACCCAGAGTCTCTGACCGTTGGTTACGATAGTCACGCGGACCCCGACCAATTATTCTGCATCTACCACCATGGCTCAGATCAGAAGTTAGTGACTCCAAGGACTGATGTCACGTTCTGGTTTGGCCGCCCCTTACTTTCTCCCAACCATCTCCAACACCAGTCATCATTGCGCGCTGTATTAATCGGTGTCCGTGCATGTATAACATGTGGCCCAACCATCTCAGTCGATGAAGGTTCGCAACCTCAACAATTGATTTTCCATAATTTCCTAATACCCTGCATCTAACCTCACTATTACTTACTCAGTGATCTCAGCAGGTGCGAGCAATATTTCTACGAAATATGTGATCAAGTACTAGTAACCTACGAGTATCTTCTACTCTGAATGATCGCGTTGTGCAGTAGTGAAGTAGAACAGAACGAACTGCTGCACAGTATACTTGCCCTTTAATTTATAGACGGATATCTTGCCTTCGTCATAGGTGACGTTAGTCGGTAAAAGCCAAACGAGCCTTCTGAATCCGTGCCGAGATTTCGTCGGACGCCAAAACAATAGGGCTGATTAAACTTTCACGATAAGTGGAATTGTCGAAGCGTTTGACCATTTCACTCCACGCCACTTACCATCAAATAATTTAACGTTAAACAATAAATTCTTTTTATGAAATAGTCTAGAAGCTTATGAATGTTTTTTAATCAATAAGAGACCTTTCACTTTATTCTCGGCTGAATGCATACTATTACAATGTACTAAGAGCCATTTCACTGAGTGTGGAATTCAGGATCAAATATCAACTTCTGGCCGAAATATGTGCTTCATTATATTTAACAACAATGGTAATAATAACCAATCTAATCATCCGTACACATATAAATAGAAGATTAGAGTATAAGATTTTCTGTTTATTATCTATAGTTATCTAAAAGACATAAAAACTGTTTTATCTGGAAGATACGTTTGCACATCATTCTTCTTAAATTGATATTATTGACTTAATTCAGATATTTGAGTTTTTAATCATCATGATGAAGACTGCACTAATTGTTTTTTGACATTAGAACAGTTTTCTTCTTTATGACTGTACACTTACATTTCATGCTAGTTGTTACTCAACAGTATAACTCATCTGGAATCTTAAAGGGATTATTACCTCTAATGAAATATGAACTCATATCACTCAATGTCAAAGATAAGTAGAATATTTGATAATCAAAAGCATGAAACTCTCAGTTTAGCAAAAGCTTAATCGCATCTCAAAACTGCAGAGTGACAACAGTCATCAATCTTAAATACAAAGCTTCCTTTTGATTGCCTTCAACCACCTAACATTAAGGATATATGACTTTGAACTGATTGAATTTTAAAAGTATCTATTTATTCGCATCAGTTTTATTTTGGATTGTGTAACTGAACTTATTTTATTTATGCCTACAAACAGAATACCTACGAGCTATTCTCATAATCCAATGTAAGAAAAACTAAAATCTTTTTTGTCTCATTGTTAACCTGAAAACATATATACTCCTAAAATATGTATGAATAAACACATATCTTGAATTAAGTGATTGTGTAGTGAATGAGAGAATATAAGTAGGAATAACCAGATCTATGCGAATACAAAATTTACAGATTCTCTTAGTAAAATCTAAGAACCATACAATAAACACATAATTTGCAAAATGTCAATCAATTGTCACAGATTTGATTATTTTTTCATTTTCACACCAATCACATTCTGTTCTAGTTTAAATTTCTTCGATCTTAACTTTCTACTGCCAGGTATTTCATTTTAGATTATTAATACATACTACTTATATCTGTCAATATCAGCAACGCATACTACAATTATAGTTTTAACTTTGTAGTTAAACAAACCATTAGTGAATAATTTATTTTAATTAGATTACTATGCACCACAGTATGTATATTAAGTAAATATCAAATTTATATTATCTACAAGATATATATATAGTAGGACTTTCTTATCATGAATAGATATTTTAAATATCCTATTTAAATTTAATTATCATTACAATGAATACTTAAATTCTTTATTTAAACAACAGTCCAATAAATAGGTTATGTAATAATTGTTTATTATTTATTAATTTTCTTTGAACTGGTTTACACATTTTATAATTTATGTTTGATTTATCTTATTCACTTTCCAGGTAGCTGATATATACATATTTTCAGATGGGTTTTGTGGATATTATAGTAATTTCAATGGTTAAGATCATGAGTCAGTTGAAGCTAGACCACCATGGAAAATTAGTGCTTCCAGGTTTTCCATGGTGGTCTAGTTTCAACTGACTCATGATCTTAACCATTGAAATTCATATTTATTTGTCAACGGGAATCTGTTTTGTCGTTGTAGAAAAATTAATGACATTTCAAGAGAGAATATTTTCTTAACGATATCCCCAAACCGTTTATAATCCTTTAAAATATTTAAAAAAATGTAATTCAAGTACATAGAAGTACTAAATTCCTACATTTTTAGATCCATTAAAATTATAGGCTATCATCTTTAGAAATATTTTTGAAAACCCTGTGTTTTTTGCCAATGAACAGTGTTTATTTAAATAAAACTCTAGTGGTTTGTTTTAAACAAGCTTACCACAAGTTAATTCATCTTCACCATCACTACAATCTCGATCCTTGTCACATACAAAAGCCATTGGAATTTGACGACCATCTCGTCTACAACTAAACATTCGATCTTGACAACGTTCTGAAGCTCGTGCTTATAAATGAATTGAGAAAAAAATACTTTATTTAAATTTATACCATGAATACTTTGCAAATGTTATGAATAGACCAACATGTTTAATTAATAAATTGGTGAATACAAATAGAAATACTTAGAAATGATGTAGCATTCGATAAGTATGTTAATATCTGAATGGTTGCACGTCAGGGAACACAGAAAACACACTAATAATATTAGCTAGAAGAGTTATCGAATGGCTTTTATGGCAATATCTTTGAATTTACAGTAACTGTTTAAAACTATGTATATTTTGTATAGTTTCAATAATGTACATTCTTGAGAAAAATGTTAATACCTTTAAAATCTATCCACTTTATTAATTACCAAAGATAATCGACAATATGAATAACTCTTACGCTTGTCTAGTTCAATAATACATGGTTTAATTTCAAATTGTTAAGATAAAAAAACCATTCAATTAAATCTAGTAATAACTGTGTTAGGAAGGTTATATTGTTGGTTTCTATCTAAAGGATAGACATTTTATTCTGTCTATCATTTGATTATAATCACACCGTAGTTATAAAAATCAATTGGTCAGTTAAGTGGTCTAACATCAATCGGTTCATGATCTCAATCAAAAACTTAACAATCTCCATAACACCTATACTGATAATTACCATAAGCTCACTAATGACTAGCTTCGTGAGAGAATTCTCGGAGTTCTAGTGAGAAGCCGTGATCAGTGGAGCTAATTCGTGTTGGGTAGAGACAGGTATCTACCTCAAAACAATGGAAGATGATCGCGCAATTTCGTGGATTGGTTGATGTTAGACACTATCACCATTGGATGCCGTCTCAGTGGTCCATTAGGTTAAGCGTTTGGACGCAAGACAGAAGGCCCTGGGTTGGAATCCCGCGAGCGGGATCGTGGATGCGCACAATAGGACGAAAAGGCCGTCTGGTGCTTCCAGGTTTTCAATGGTGATCTAACATCAATCTGTTCATTATCTCAATAAAAAACTTGGTAATCTCCACAACATCTATACTGAGAAGTATATAATTGTAGGGTATAGTACAAATACGATTTGTCTTTTCTAAGTTTGTTATTTGGTATATAATATGGATTTACTCATGATAACAACCAAAAATCTTATTCTACTATCCTCGAAAGAAAAAAATTTTCCCACAGATATCTTGTCGACTTAGATCATTTGCTTTGTCCAATGAAATCTCACTAAATTCAATTAGTTCATTTCTCTCAATAATTTTATACGTTATATCGGGTTGCAGTTTTTTTAGTTTTAAAATCACTCAATAGTTAGTTCATCGTCCTACAATAGGACGAGACAGCCATCCAATGCTTCCAGATTTCCTATGGTGGTCTAGCTTCAATTAACTAATGATCTCAACTATTGAAAAATGAAATAATTTGTTTTTAATTATTACTTCAAAACAATCAGATCACGTATCTAGAATAACTTTACTACAATTTATTGATATTATTGACACACTAGTTGACTATCATATGAATAATGTTCCCGCCATTTTTTAAAAATTATATTCAGTTCTACAGTTTCTAAGGGAAATTTATCATATAGAATATGATTTGATAAAACAATAAATCAAAATTTACTATAATCTATCCAAAAGATTTCAATACATGATAAGTAAATTTATTATGAATGTATATTTTAATTTAAAATTGTTTATTTGTTTACCTTCACAATTTGATTCATCAAAACCATTTCCACAATCATTTTCACCATCACAAGTCCAATGTACCATAAATGTTGATACTGTCGATTCTTTTCCTTGATAATATTCACATTTTCTTGAAAGTGGATCACAAATATCTAATGAATAGTTGATGTAAAAAATAAATAAATAAATAAACAAAACAAAACAAAATTACAGATATTTATTTGACGAAAAATTAGGTTATTCAAGAAAGTTCAATGATAATTTTCTGACAATTAGATACTACTTAAATAGCTTTTTTAAATATACGATTTAAATACATGAAATACTGGAAATCAACTTATGCTGTTTATATCTGTTATCTCTTCAGAGATATTTTTATACTATACAAGATTAGTAATATAGATAATAATTTTGTCTATAAAAGACTATATTCATCGCTAAACAGATAACTTTATTGAGTGTGAATGAGAAGAATGAACATTGTTGAAGATGTATTGCTCAATGAACAATTGGTCAATGACTACAAATACTTTATTATTAAAGTGATTTCATGATTAATATACCATGTGGATTATAAAAAAAAACAATTAGGATATCGCTAAAATGTCTAAAAATCTTCAGTTGTATGCACAGAATAGTATTGATACATGGTAGTGATATGTGATAAAACAGAAAAACACAGCATATATATTCTGTCGGACAATTAGTTTTATTTATCTTTCATGGAAGGTTTCTTTAAACCATTGGTTAGAAAATAATTTGGAACCTCGCCTATATTGTATGAAGAATTTGATGGAGTGATTGAATGAATCTAGTAGATGTTTAGATATTCGTGAAATTTCTTTTGATAAATTGTGTGCTGTGATTCCGAGGAGTGCTACAATTGAACGTAGTGGCATATTTGGTCTGTGTATTTTTGACCTACCGTAGAATCAAAGGAGTAATGGTGCATTGAATTTCATTCTCCATTAATCTTGTCTTGATATTTGTCGTGCTTTGACGAGCTTGTTTAAAAACTTTGAGATTCGGTTGTCCAAACTTTTAAGTGGATTTGCATCCATTGGTTTGTATACGCTTTCATTCTCAAGTAGTTCCTCGGCTTTCTTGATATATTCTTCTTTGTCCATAATTACTGTTGTGCATCGTTCGTCCGCTGGAACTATGACAATATCTTCTCTCGTTCTGAGTTTTTTTCAAAGCTTTTTGTTCTTGTGAAGTCAGTTGGGTGTTATGTTTCATCCGTCAAGTTAGCGGTACCATAGTTTGTCTTATTTCCTGTTGAGTTTCTTCACGGCAGTTTTGAGTGATAACTCCAGTTCTGAGGCGTTACTTGTATTGTAGTTTAGTCCCTTTCGGTGTAAGTGTTCTTCTATGTTTGTTAACGGGATTTTTGACAAGTTGTTTGTGCTTTCTTCTGCACATATTATTAGTTTTCTAAGTGCATGTTGTACATATATATGTAGTATGTCTGTATGTTTTAAAAATTTCATTTATATTCAATAACTTTAGTTCTCTGACCAAATACGAAAGCCAAATACAATTTAGATTCAGCATTCGTTTACAATCACAAATGTTCAGACTAAAGATTCTGTAAAATTTATATTGGTGATGATATTTGGAAAAAAAGAATGCCATTGTTAGAGAAAGTGTTTTTGCAAAATCTTTCTCTTCCAGGTTAATAATATATTTCTAACATTAGGAGTCTTGGAAAAGTAACCTCATCAACAAAATTAAATGTAAGAATAAACTGCAACGGTCAAGATATTATCTGATTATAGTGTTATTTCGATAATTAGTGTATAGTTCAAAAGCCTTATATGTCGGTCAGTTTATCATGTAAGTAATTATACGAAGAGGGTGAATCTAAATTTAGGCACAAGTTAAGTTTCAGGAATTCACTAATCATAACAACATAGAACAGGTTGGTAAGTTTAAATTATTCTTTGTAATTTAATTTTTTCAGTCAAATCAACAAATTATTTGTACTACTCACTGCACATTTTAGGATCTTCATCTGAACCATCATCACAATCCCTCGCTCCATCACAGAATCTTCCAGCCGGTAGGCACTGACCGGAACGACAGCGACGTGAACCATCCGGACAGATATCTTCAACTGTAATTATTGCTGATATCGGTTTACTTGGTTCCTGCAATCAAAATTTAAAATTAGTGTGAATAAACTGACACAATAATAATTTCATTTAAATGATTGATCATTTCATGTTTTCAGTTTTCATGTTGAAAATTTTCTTAAGTTCATAAAAGCAAACAAAAACCTACATTCTAAGTCATAAATCACTCTGTAATTGATGACCAAATTTATTAACAATTTGTATGACCACACAAAGATTGAAACAGTTATGGTGTATAAAATGAACTAATTCCTTTCATTCTCTCTTTATGAGAAAATGGATAAACTTCAAGCAAAGTAATAGTAAAGTAAACGACCATTAGTCTATCTTCTGTATATTATTAAATGACTAGCTTCGTGAGGGAATTCTCGAAGTTCTAGTGAGAAGCCGTGATCAGTGGAGCTAATCCGTGCCGGGTAGAAACAGGTATCTACCTCAGTACAATGGAAGGTGGTCGCGCAAGTTCGTGGATTGGTTGATGTTAGACACTAACACCATTGGTTGTCGGCTCAGTAGTCTAATGGTTAAGTGCTCAGGCGCGAAGCCAGTAGGTCCTGGGTTCGAATCCCGCGGGGTGCGGGATCGTGGATGCGCACTGCTGAGGAGACCCATACTAGGACGAAACGGCCGTCCAGTGCTTCCAGGTTTCCAACGGTGGTCTAACATCAATTAATTCATGATCTCAACCAAAAAATTATTAAGATAGTTTACTTCAATCAATTGATATCAATTGATGAATAACTATTTGAAATTAAGGGACACTTAAAATGGTTTCTCAAAAATTTTAAAGACAAATAATCATTTTCATCCATTTTCATTAAATTACTGTTCGTATTTAGTTGTCCATCTTCAAAATTTAAATGTAGAAATACTTTCCTATTCAACTGAATAATTTACGGACATATTACAGGAATAAAAGAATTGTCATTTCAGATTCTTGAAGTTATTATTCCGCTCAGACCACATTTATGCAGTATATATATATATGTATATTATTTAATTCGGAACCCATTACCATTTGACATCATTTCATTGAATTAGCAACCAATAGAAATCAAACATGTTTTTATGAAATTGATCAATAGTGGGAAATATTCTGTTCAATGTTTGAAGTAAATTTCTTTTCTTTTTGTTTTCGGTTAGTGATTAAACATTTTAAAAGTACTAAGTTTGAATATTGATCAAAATTGTTTGATTTTTGTAAAGGGGATTTAGTTTTTGAAAACTATTCAGAAATATACAATAGATTACTGGGTGGACTACCTTTAAATAGCTCAAAAAATAGTACAAAAAACATTACTGGTATATAGTTTCGACCGATTGATTAATCAGGTTTTGTTGAAGCCCAATTGAATTACTGTTGCATATTTATTATGGTCATTTGAAACAAAAAAATATTTATATTTGTCAAATCTATGACAATTAAAATGGTAACTATTTACCAATGTTTATTAGAATAACTAGTGAAACAATATTGGAAATTTTGTGAATTGTAATAAATATGTGTGCTTAATACTATTTATCACAGAGACGGTAAATAATTATGGCTGATATAGGATATATCTGTCTTATGATATATGTATAACGGTGATGCTGTGTGCAAACCGTTTGGGAATAGAAGGATATAAATTTGCCACCTTTGGATGAAAGTGTACTTCTAAATTAATAATGAATCAAATATATATATAAACAATATAATAATATATAAATATTTAGGATATTTTAGTCTTACATCTGAAAGGCATTCAACAATCGTTCCATTTTGATCTGGACCTAATCCTCGTTGCAACACAAATCTTGCACGGTTTTCACTAACACGTGTAGTTTCGAAACTGATTCTTGAATCTCTAACTCGAAATCGTGGAGTAAATGAAGCCGGTTGTCCATCTTCAGATGCGGCAAAACACTCAAACTCTACTGGTTGATATGGTCGAACAGTCAATCTCTGAGGTGTGATTGTCAATATGTAACTTTTTACTGCTCCTTTGTGGTTAAAAAAACAATTGAAATTCAGTATAAAACATTTAAATATGACATGTGGACTATTAAGACAATCTTTCATGGTTATTTTGTGTTATCCTAACAGATTCATGGAACTTGGCACTTTCAATTCCATCATTTCTTTTATTAATTGATATTCAACTGCTTGAAGGATATTTTACGGTTCTTAGGATTAAAATTTCGATTAATTATCTACCTTACACTGATCAAAAGCTTTTTAGTGAACCCTTGAACGGAATTGGTATTTAAAAGAGATTTCTTTATATAATGTATTGGGAATAGTTGCTGACTTCATAACGGTCTATATATATCTGGATGCATAGAAGGAATTTCTTTAATGACGATAAAGTTAGAAGTAAATAGCAAATTAACAAACTGGATATCTACAGAATGATAGCTTGAAGATATCATTTTCATAGCATTTAATCTTAAAACAAGTTGAAATAACTACTAGATTCTATATTACTTTATGAAGTCTAAATTCTTACATAAAGACAACCTACTGTCAAGTTTGTCTACTAACCATACTACACTACTAAGCCGTAATTTAAGTACTCCTAATGGCTACAAATGAGGAATCACTATAATTCTCACGATATTGAGTAATTCTCATATTGAATTGACCTTTTTTCAATTTTAGATATTTCAATCTATATCACTATTTATTTAATTAAATAAGACTGACTGTTTCCGATTCCAATAATATTTTGCATATTTTAGAGACTAAATAAAATAAAGTCCTAAAAGATTTGTTTGTACAGATTGACAAATTTATCCCTTTAGGAGAGTCAGATGGTATCACACAAAATAGTGTGATCGTCGACCTTTCGAATACTTACAATCCATCTTGAATTACTGACCCATGAATTCCTATTATTTTACGATCATAGAATTTAAAATAAATAAAATGTTATACAAGTGAAACCTTACTATGACATTAATTCAGTTGTGGAATTTAAAATAGTCTAAGCTCCTATAATATTTGTTGATATTTCCAAATTCTACAGTCAAAAGTCCTATCTAAGGATCATCAATAAGCTTTTAAAATTTTAATGCAGAATGAAAACATTTTCATTCTCCTACTCCAGTTTAAAAGACACCTTTCAATTTATTGAACTGCAAGAAAAAGTGGACATTTCTGATAAGTTCATGGTTTCCTTTGATCTACCATTGTTATTCACTACAATCGCATTAGAGGAAACCAACCAGATAATAGGTCAACACCTTGACTTAAAGATAAATTTAAATAGCTTCTACTAATATATACTAGAATTATTCAGTTTAGATTCAATAAAATCTTATATCATCATATTGATGGAATGGTTAGGGGTAGCCCACTGGGATCAATCGTGGCAGATTCCTTTATGAAAAACTTGATATGTGCTGGGTTAGTTGATTTTGTGTTATGAGTTGCATAACTATAACACGTAAATAATGTTTCTACATAATTTTGTCTCTATGTTCTCAGTTATTTATTCTAGAATATTTTTATTTTTAACTTATATATTAGCATTAATTAACATATGAACATCGCTTTTTGTTCGTTCATACTTATAACCTTTTTCATTGATTTTCATTAAAGAAAACTCTTCCGAATTTTGTGATATAAAGTATGCACAATGATTTTTAAAGAATAATACTGTGGTGCTTGCTACTTATATTGATATAAGTAGTATGTAACTCGAGTCAGAAATGTAATGTCTGGCAGCAGAAGATGGAGAAGATCAAGAAAGGAAGAGCGGGAATAGAAAGCAATTAGTGTGGAAATGCAAGAAAAATGAAGTTTGAGACAATTATTGAACATTTTGCAAATTAAGTATTATAGTATGGTTTTCTATTTTACCAAGTAACTCCGTAATTTTGTGCTAAATATAATTCGATTGTCCCCACCCGTGTTCTGTTCACTACAATACTACTATGTTTAAGTTGTAAACAGCTAACAAGAAACAGTAAAATAAGTTCATGTTATTCTGCTACTGTCATCATTCTTGGTTTAGTAAAATTTATAAATGGGTTGAATTGTATAAACGTTCTATAAGTTTGGTCATTACAACTGTAAGGAAACATTAAAATGTTAGTCTATGAAGTAGATCGCAGTTCACTGAAGTCTATTATAAACTAAGTGTTTTGTTTTTTGTTTCTGTACTTCTGTGAAGTTTTACATTTGATAATTTAATGGAATGATTATTTAAAGTTGATGAAATTTTCCTATTTTATTAAATTAGGATTATTCAAAGCAAGTTATTTGACAATTCATTGTATGAGAAAGGGGTTTTGTGGATATTACAGTAGTTTAATAGTTGAGTTCATGAACCTTATGAAGCAAAGACCACAATTTTTTATTATTTAAACACATAAAGGTTGGTACAAAGAGGTACAAATAGGTATGCGCCACATAAATCATTTGATTTGTGTGAGGGCTGGGATACTGCCCAGGTGCCCAAACTGAAACAGTTGGTTCCCGGAGCATTCGACCTAGAGGTCCGATCCACAAGGCAGTCAAGTAACGTCACGAGATGCAGTTCTATGTTAGCCGGTGACCAACAATAGGTTCATATGCTATATGTTCTTTTAGGATCCTGAAGCTCATGTGCACCATTCATTTAAAATCAGGGTTTTCCAACTCCCCTAGGTGGTTTCTCCATATCCACCAACTTGGTTAAAGCGCCGGATATTCACTTTTCGTCCTATCAATTTAGTAAAAAAGCACCCCTTTCGCGAGAAGGCAGTGAGTACGAATTCCCTGGTTGTATGCGCGTGGCCATGTGAGACCACCATGGGAAACTTGAGAGCGCTGGACGGCCGTTTCGTCCTTTGTATTTTCATGAATTTTCACAAATTAAGTTCATGTATAAAACGCGTATCTATACTTAACAATTAATCATTAACTTAAGAGTTAATCCAAAGCAACTATTAATTACTTTAATGGGTAAATATTTAATTTAAAATTATTTTATTAAAATTTAGCTAAATTACATAAATTAACTGTCTTTATTCTAAGAGAGAAAGGCATATCTTTTTCCCCTTAGCCAAATGATTGTCAGCAACTAAAGTACAGCAACCGTAATATTGTTATTATTGTTATCATAGTATTTATGTGTTAGTGACCTTTTCCATTCATCTGCATTATCATTACTATTTTCTTTATGAATGTTACCAGTATATATATGGTCAAGATCAACATACTGAATGTTAAAAAACATGTGATCGGCCTATTACTTTGTGTTAACTTCATATCAACTGTTTTATTGAGTAAAGCGGGAGATTTGAAAGGTAGAAGGAATGTTTACTTACATGTTGAAGTGAAATATGATGAAATAAAAATAGTTCAGATAAACAAAGTTAGTCGGAAACAATTTTTTTCTAAAGGCATATATATATATATATATATATATGTAGGCGGGAGGTTGGATATTGTGCAAAGTTTAACTTTATGTCATGTATATGACAGGCTATCGTGTTTATTTAGAGGCTTTTAGTTGCCGACTATATCTAACATTTAAGTGAAATACAACATATTATATTAAATATTGATGAAGTTTTCATTTTTCATTTTACTGTTCAATATTATAGGTCTATGAAAAACCAGATCAAGTTAAAATAGTATAATGTTTCAAGTTATAAAGACTGTTAAAAAAAGTAAGTGAATTTTTTTAACTTACTAACAAAAAGTTTTCCGACAATTTCTTCATTTTGAGATGGTAGTCTACAAATATATTCACCTTGATCAGCAACACGTGCTCTGCTTTTACTAATAAAACTGGTATGTTGAGCAACTAGATCATCATGACGCATAAAACTATCAGGTGTATCAACATCAAGACGTACACGTGTCGAACTATAAAATGGTCTATAATACCATTCTAATTGACGATTAATGTTACCATCCATTCCATGTACACGACAATGAAATTCTACTGCTTCACCTTCATCAACTGTATCCGATTTTGGATTGATTTCCAATCCTTCTTCAGCTGTTTAATAAAGAAAAATCTTAATTAGTAAAAATGCATTTTAATCACAAAATATCTTTCGTTCTAACGTATAGCTTTTATTTTACTTTGCTAGCTAAGACTAGGTTATACAACATAGATATAATATTGATGAGTAATTTTTATAGCAAAATAATGAGCCTACTAAAAAATTTCGAAATCTCAATTCATTGAATTTAGTAATGTAATATATAGGTTCTATAGACTATCGTAAACCGGAACGACCAGTGAAAAGCAGGGAAGGCAAAGTAATCACCAACATCGAAGAACAGCAAAACAGGTGTGTAGAACACTTCAAAGAACTCTTGAATCGGACAGCCCCACTGGACAGCACCCACGGACCTCTCAATAGATGTTGACTCACCAACAATTGAAGAGATCAACATAGCCATAAGACAAATCAAGAGCGGCAAATCATCAGAATCAGACAACATTCCAGCAGAGGCACTGAAAGCAGATGAAGCAGTAACTGCAAAGATACTCCACATTCTCTCCAGGAAGATTTGTGATGAAGAACAAGTACCAACAGAATGGAAAGAATGACTTTTGGTCAAAATACCAAAGAAAGGCGATTTCAGCAAGTGTGAGAATTACTCTTCTCTCAATACCAGGAAAAGTCTTGAACAGGGCTTTGTTAAACAGAATGAAAACTCCGTATACGCCCAACTTTGAAACCAACAGGCCGGATTTCGTAAGAATAGATCGTGTACAGACCAAGTCGCAACTCTACGCATCATTGTGGAACAATCAATTGAATGGAATTCATCTCTCTACATCAACTTCATTGACTACAAAAAAGCATTTGATAGCATGGGCAGAACAACACTATGGAAGCTTCTTCGACACTAAGGCGTGCCTCAGAAGATAGTCAATATCATACAGAACTCATATGATGGATTACACTGCAAAATTGTGCATGGAGGACAGTTGACAAAGTCGTTCGAAGTGAAGACCGGTGTTAGGCAAGGTTGCTTACTCTCACTCTTCCTCTTTCTCCTGGTGATCGACTGAATCATGAAGACTTCAACATCTGAAAAGAAACTCAGGATAGAGTGGACATCTAGGACGCAGCTGGACGATCTAAACTTCGCAGATGATCTGGCCCTTCTATCCCAAACGCAACAACAAATGCAGGAGAAGACAACCAGTGTGGTAGCAGTCTCAACAGCAGTAGGTCTCAACATACTCAAAGGGAAAAGCAGGATTCTCTGATACAACACAGAATGCACCAATCCAATCACAATTGACGGGGAAGATTTGGAAGATGTAAAAACCTTTATATATCTGAACAGCATCATTGATGAACACGGTGGACCTGATGCGGATGTGAAGGTGTGGATCGGCAAAGCAAGAGCAGCATATTTGCAGCTGAGGAACATCTAGAACTCAAAGCAACTGTCAACCAACACCAACGTCAGGATTTTCAATACAAATGTCAAGACAGTTCGACTGTCTACTGGGGCAGAAACCTGGAGAACTACGAAAGCCATCATCCAGAAGATACAGGTGTTGGTTAACAGTTGTCTACGGAAAATATTTTGGATCCGTTGGCCAGACACTATCAACAACAACCTACTACGGGAGAGGAATGGAGGCAGACATGAGAAGAATGAACAAAAATAGGATAGAACTGGAAAGGAAGGCCCAGGACAGAGTAGGTTGGAGAATGCTGGTCGGCGGCCTGTGCTCCATTGAGATTAAAAGGCGTAAGTAAGTAAGTAAGTAATAGGTCCTATAGAAGTTTGACAAGGCTCGAGATTTGAATGAAATATTTATTTACTAAGTCAATGCTATCTAATGTTGCAAACACGACTTATTCATAATGGGTATAGAATGATTCCTGATTTTTTTTAATGTTATCGTTTAATTCATTTCGATACAACTAATTAGATTTCAATTAATCTTGATAACCTTAACTTTGAAGATCTCGAAAATTAGATAAACCAGAAAATTACTTGTCAATTATGTAATGCAAATGCTTCATTTAATAATGTTCACTTAATAATTTTTATTATTACACTAGAAACTTGTATTATGCTAACATCCCTGTCTCAACAACAGCCAGACTGCCAGTTGTAATATTTACTAAGTTTTATAAATCTATTTTAATTAAGGCAGTTATATTATATAGTTTTGTTTAAAATGAATTTACTGGTCTTACAAAAGTTGTCTTATGAGAAGATAGGCTTACCTCTAACAACTAAATGTGCTTGTTTTATATCACGACCAATTCTACACTCGTATGTTCCTCCATGATCATATTCTATGCCACGAATTGTCACAATACTTACTCTTAAACGATCGATACGAAATATTTTGCCTGTAGCATTCACAGTTGGATGATTCTCTAATAATTGATTTTCAAAATACCACCTAACATCTCTTGGATTAGCTACAGGAAATTCACAGTGAAGTTCACGTGTTTCTCCAGGTAAAGAAACCATAACTGAACCAGGCGGAGGACTCATTTCTACAAATGTAAAATAGAAGTAAAGTACATTTAACGTGTTTTCAAGACTGATTAATATCTGTCATAAGTCTTTTTATAGTTTGTTATGAACAAAGAAACATCTAATGATGTTATGACTGAATAATTTTTCCATGATTAATAACTAATTTATCAAATAAATATTAAGCAAGCTTAAATTTTAAGAAGATAAGGAAACATGTTTAATTAACTGATTTTGTCTATTGCTTAAACTAGCTAGCTAACTTTTGATGATGCATACTCCAGTGATTATCTGTGGTGTTGCAAGAATCGGATCTCTTCTAGAAAAACAAGATTTTTTAGTTCACATTTCCATTAGTTGTGACTATAAAGATTTTGAAATGGGTCTCTCTGTTTTAATTTCCTCTACTTAGATGATAGTGAATGGTATAGAAATAAAATCAATTTATTCAACATGGATGAGTGTCGCTGACATTAGGCAGTAATACATTATACTTTATGTGAATAGCTCCGGATTTTCAAAGCACATACATAATTCGATATATAAACTTTTAACAGACAAAACTCCTTGAATTAATAAATACAACATAGTAATAAGTAAATGTTAGCTGAATGATTTACTTGTTTTAAAACTTCATCGTTTGATATAAAAACCTAAATTAACTAGCTAGAAATTGTTATAACTTGTAGCCTGTGTGCCCTGTTAATGTATAACGTAAAGATACCGCCAATTAGAGAGCATTGAATTGTCGGTCGGACCAATAACTCGTAAAACCCTTACGAGCAGCCTAGAGTCCTGATTGGTCCTGCATTCCGCCTAGCCCAGCCAATTAAGTCCAGAAAGCCAATCTCAGTCTCTGCGATATGAATCATTCATTTCAAGTATACTGAGTTTATATACCAACCGGACAGACCACACCGTACCATAAAATATAAAACAACATTTGTACAAGAATTAGCCCAAAGTGGCTGTGAATGAGGGAGGTAGTTCAAGAATGGTAGATCGTATAGTAATAGTTCATAGGTCAAAATAAAGCTTATGATAAGAGGAATATGAATGTGAATAGTTTAGTTATTTAACAATTATACGATAAAAATATAGGCATATTATCGATCCATAAATGGATCCCAAAAGTTACCATTCATTATGCTTATCGGAACCTAACAGAAATTGAGCATGATTTGTCAAGACATACTGTTAACATTTCAATCGTCCTGATATTTTATTGCTTAACATAACAATTCCAATAATCAAACTTGTTAATTCAGTTATATATGTTATCATAAGGACTGTTTGTTCTTCAAACTAAAGGTGGTCTTTTTATGCTGTGATGTGTAGATTTATATGTTTAGTACGAAGAACTTACCAATTTTTGTTTCTCGTGTCAATGCCAAACTTAATTCAGCTGTTGCATTAGCTGATATAGCAGTACGTGAATATCTTGGTGTCCATTCAGCTCGACATATATACATACCTATATCACGATACGATAATGAATTCAAACGTAATAATGCTTCACGATGCACAACTTTGGCATTATGATACCATACAAAACTTATTGGCTCTTCCGGTTGCGGTTCAACTTCACAAACCATTTCATACGGTCTGCCAATGATGACTTCACCAGTAATTGGTCGAATATTAACAATATGCTGCATAGCTATAATGATTGTTAAATAAATAATGTTGTTCAGAATTAATATCATATTGAAATAGATCCGTGGTAATATTGAAAACGGCATTCTTTTGCAAAACAGCCAAAGATAATTTTCACTTATTTGGTAAAAATTTTAAATGCTTACATGTAATCAGTAAATTCCTTAAAAATATTCGTCCAAACATTTGCTTTAACGATTAACTATGCTCACCGCCATATAATTCTATTTATTCATGGATCAAAAGCCTAAATTAATAATAAGCATTATTTATTTGTAGAATACTTGCAAAATAATGACTTCTAAGTAACATTTACATAACAATTGTTTCTGAAGAACTCTTGAAGTGGTCAGTTTATATAGGTAAGTGATTGTTATTAGTAATTGAGTTTCCATTGAAATACATAGACTTTTTTGATAACATGTCTGTTGTTGGTATCTCTTCGACCAATTTCATAGTATAACAATACTAGGAATTTGTGAGATTGAACTATTGTTTCTTCTCCTACATTTTATCTTCATTATTCATAGCACAGTCACATTGTAGTGAATGGGATCTCAGGTGGGGAAAACCACTTTATCTTGTAATTCAAAATAATAGAGTGCCTTGGTAAAATTTGAAGTACCATATATTAAATACTTTATTTGTACATCTTCCAATAGTTGTCTCTTACAAAATTCATCGTTCATTCATTTCTGTTTTTACTACAATTACGTTCTGATTACATTTTTATTATCTTCAATTCTATCTTCTCAACCTTTTGCTGCCAGGCATTTCACTTCTGATTGATGTTACATACTACTTATATCGACAAACATAAGTAGCATACAACGCAATATGATGGACAATTTGAACAAACAATTTCATTTAGAAGTCCATTATCTTAGTATTAATACGTTAGTTAAAAAATAGTAGAATATTCATTTAGTTGTGAACATTTATACGATAAACATTATATTCACTAAAAACTAACAGCATTTGGAGACTAGAGAGGCTGAAATGGTTACTTTGGCATTGTCTAAGAGTTTACAAAAATATGAATCAGTGAACATAGACAGATCTCAATAAAAAACTTAATAGTCTCCACAATACCTATACTAGTAATTGGCATGTGCTCACTAGTGACTAGCTTCGTGAGAGAATTCTCGGAGTTCTAGTGAGAAGCCGTGATCAGTGGAGCTAATTCGTGTTGGGTAGAGACAGGTATCTACCTCAAAACAATGGAAGATGATCGCGCAATTTCGTGGATTGGTTGATGTTAGACACTATCACCATTGGATGCCGTCTCAGTGGTCCATTAGGTTAAGCGTTTGGACGCAAGACAGAAGGCCCTGGGTTGGAATCCCGCGAGCGGGATCGTGGATACGCACAATAGGACGAAAAGGCCGTCTGGTGCTTCCAGGTCTTTAATGGTGATCTTATATCAATCGGTTCATGATCTCAATCAAAAACTTAACAGTCTCCACAACCCTTATACTAGTAAATAAAAACACAGAAACTACATCAAAAGTAATGAGCCCAAGACAAACGTATATATCTAATTTTAGTTAGTTAGCTATATGATATGATGATAATTCAGTGTCATATTATATGACTACTTCAACTACTATATGATTGAGTTACAATTAATACGTTATCATGGAAAGATCTATTGAGTACCTTTTGACTTGTATTCATTTTCTACCTGATGCTAATCCACTTATACCCCAAAAAATATCCTCAACTTCATGAACATGATCAAATCTCACTAAAATCTATTTGTAACAATTTAATCCTAAATAATTATTTAGATTCAGATTTTATTGAACATAACTTTATCATACATAGACGATTATGTTATCCATAATAATGATTTTTTGAGACAGAAGTGTGTTAATCAATATTAGTTATAAATACATTCCGTATTTAGGTAAAGCAAAATGTTTCCTTCACCTAAAATATATTCATGTGAATATTTATTTATAAATCTTATAAAATGAATGATTATGAAAACCAGATTTTGTCTGTAAACTATTTCAAATACCAAAAAAATAAACACAATCACGGGAATTTTCAATGAATTGACATAAAAGTGTATTTCTTCTTCTTCTTTTTCTTTTTTGCTTCACTTTAGTTGATAAGCCCTTAAAATCTCATAAAGATAACATTTGTTTTGATTTTTCAACTGAAAATTTGGCATCATCATTTAGAAGTTATTTGTGACGTCTATTCAATGGTCTACGTTTGGGGAACAACTTCATTCTTTGTTATTATTTTTTTGTTTTAAAACCATTAATAGATACATTTGATAATAATCGTATTACGTTTACCACTCCATTGAAATGTAATTCAACTTAGTTTTTAAATATTTATTGTATAATATATTAAGCTTGAAAAGTTATAAGATTATTCAAACATTTGCTAGAAAGTAGGGCGGAACTCTAATTTAGAGACGAGCCAATCAGGAGCGTTTGAGCAACTTCAAGGTCACGGAACCAAGTTCAACACGCGATGCTAACATACGATCGGTTCGCAGCGAATTTTAGAGAGGAGGTGCTTATTGAGAGGCTACGTTCCTAACCCTAAACCTAACAATATGGACGATTTTCTATACGGTATGCATTATGAATTCAGAACCTCTGAACCTTTGTCGAACCTTAACAAGTTTTTAACTCATGTAAAAGGAGAATACCCACTGTAATTCATTACTTTCTCATAAGATATTTTCACTTTATACTAACTGTCTTCTGATTGGCTAATAATTGTCAAAGTCATTTAAGATTCGATCAAAGGTCGTCCCTAAATTAGAGTCTCGCCGAAAGCAGATAAAAAGCAAAAAGAGAATAAAGAAAAACAACAATCGGTTACTTCCTTTTTTCAATATGAAACTCCATAGCACTATAATACAATTATCTAATCCTTAAATTACTGATATATGTCATAAAACACACTATAGTGTCAAGTAATTATTCTGATGAAACTATGTTATTTAGATGACGAAAAAGTAAAACACATTCATATCATAAATCTAATTTGAATTAAATTTTCTAGTTATATAATACACAACCATAAAATTCAATTAAGCTTATTTTAGATGTGTATAATAGATTTTAGATGAAAGAAAAAAAGGAAAAAAGAAAAAAATAAATATTTAATTGACAGTTACGTAGGTAAACTACTTGATTCCGGTAACTACTATAGATTAGAATTCTTTTTTCACATTACAGAATATAACGCATGGATACTTTATATGAATTATGATTTAACTTTTTTCTTGTGCTGTTTCCTTTCTTTTTTTGATTTAAAATTGTCACTAGGGGTTTGTGGAGATTTTAGAAATTTCACAGATTGAAATCATGAGTCAATTCCAGCTAGACCACCGTGGAAAATCTGGATGCCGGCTCAGTGGTCTAGTTGGTTAAGCGCTTGGCGCGAGAATGATAGGTCTTGGGTTCGAATCTCGTGGGGTGCGGGATCATGAATGCACACTGCTGAGGAAATCCATTCTAGGACGAAACGGCCGTCCAGTGCTTCCAGGTTTTCCATGGTGGTCTAGCTTCAATTGGCTCATGATTTCAATCTGTGAAAATTGTCGTTTAACTAATTAAAATTAATCAATAAATAGTTAGATAATTCACTTTTATCCACAGTCTAGTGGAAAACATGAAATTTAAATCAGGAATAAAATGAATAGAATTATTTTCTTCTTTTTTTTTTGGTTTTACTCTTTATTAACATGACGAAAAATAACAGTTGACATTATTGTTTGTTTTAAATGATTAATCAGCTTTGTACAAGATTTGCTTTGCTTAAAATGAACATATATATATATATATATATAATCGACTTGATTGTGTTTATTGAATGCATAGTATAGTTTGTGTGCATATGTATGTGTTATGTTGCTAAGCCGTTGAATACATATCTACTTGAAACCTAGACAACGTAAATTGACTCGTTTTATATTTTAACATATTATTATATATCATGGATTATCTACATATATATGTATCTACTGAACATCTAACATGGAATAATTATTATGATCTTTTGACTGGGAAGAATCGACGTACCAGTTAATGCCTATTTATGAATTAGTTGATGATGAATCAGCAAAAATGTAGTTTTGCAAACAACAATAATAATAATAAGTATTTTTACTGTGATATAATCACCATCATTTGAAGCAAAAAGAAAAAAAACGCTCATAAATTTGTTTTTTTTCTTCTTCCTACACAGAATATTCTTGTGAATGTTCCTGTCTGTATGTAATCGGACAAAATGCTAATGAATAAGAGATGAATTAAGAAAAAGTAGTTTGAAGAATAAAAGCAAAAAAAAATTTGGAATTGATCGGTTACAGACTTGAAATTGTAGTTTTAGGGAAAATATTATTTATGTATACAATAACACTATTAAAAAAGAACTGATGATAAACATGACGACAGCAGAAATAACAATCAGGATTGTGAGGAGGATGGTTATTGTTATAACGTTTTGATAACAATTTTGATTAGTATAGAGTGACACAATAACTTACACTTAAAACAGTTTAGAACAGAGTTGATGAACAGTGCATAAATACATACATATATGTGTAATTTTGACTGATGTAGGTTAATAATGTTTCATGCATAACAAGTAAACTGATAATAGTGAACAAACCATAAACATTTATCATCTTATAATTGATTAGTAATATAGATATTATACGGTAGAATAGATTATTATGTGGAAAATATTAGTTGTATAAGGTAACTATTTACAGTTACTATTTTAAATATCATTTATATAAATGAAATAAACCGTTATTAATCAGTGATTTGATTACAATATGTTTAGAGTTTTAATTTAGTTTAATTTCCCATATGATGGGATATAACAATGAGAAATATATATCCACATATACATCATTCATTATCTGATTTAAGTCTATGAAGTGAAAATCTGAAACTAGAAATAACTCATCAGTTTATCACCTAAAGTCAAATCACAAATCAGATTCTTTAGCCAATTTTAACTACATTTTGTTTAAGTAATATTTACGGCTTCCGACAAGCAATTCAATTAGTATATTAAAGATTCCCATTGTGAAAATTAGAATAACACATATAAGCGAACAATTGTTTTCAATTAGATCGTCGTCAGGCTTTGCTCTAATATACATGAATATTTATACGAGAATTTATCAACAACTCACTGACCGAGATCGGCTACCCCAGCGCGTTCATTAAGAAGTACATGCAGGATATAATAAAGAAGTCGGAGATTTCGACTGTTCGTAAGAAACCTTTATACATGAAAGTGCAATTCAACGGGGATGTGGCTAGTGACACTCTGAAATATAGGTTAACCAAAGTAATCACCTGGACATTCTATGCAGCCAATCTTGCGTTGACCTTCACTTGTCGACCAGCGATGTCTACTCAAACGAAGGATAAGTTACCTGAGTTGGCCTCTTCCATGTGCATTATTTGTTTGTAATTTTCCGCCTCTTTGTATTCTTCACTATCTAATTATTTACACACATCTTATTACGTAATGATTTTAGTGTTTTGTGATTAATATTCCTAGTCTATTTACCCATGTTTGTTTGACCTTCTATTTCCAACGTTTATCTATTGATAAGAGTTTTGTTATTGTATTTTATTATTCTCACTATTATCAGTTCACCTGTCTTCCTACTATAAACTTGTACTTTTACCTATTATGTGTAGAGACTTATTCTATTTCATTGTGATTATTGACCCATATTGCCTTGATTGGTTTAAAATTTTCGTATAAATATTCATGTATATTAGAGTAAAGCCTGATGACGATCTAATTGAAAACAATTGTTCGCTTATATGTGTTGTTCTAATTCAATTAGTATTGAAAACTTATTTTGAAAGTAAATAATATTATGTCAGCGGTGTGGTCCTCTAAGAAAACTATCTGCTTCGATTTTGGCGCCCAAGGAGTATTCCAACCCTTAAATAAATCGAATGTTTCCTTGTACTAATGTTTATGTGTCTTAATAAATAAATAAAAGTCAATAAATGTCAGCTTATTCCATTCAAAGAGTGATATGAAATTATTTATTCAAAGGCTTAAAATGAGCATATTGATAAACTTGTCATTTGGTAGTTTAATGAACAAACACATTACTATTTATAACATTTAAAATGATACTGGAATCTCTTTTACTTTCTAAATTGTACGTTTAATCATAGATTCTAAATTATATTTTATTAAATTGTTACGTCTTCATAAAAAAAGATAAGTAAAATGAGTCTATTCTTATTTATCAATAAATACTCAATAGCTTTGATTAGGTGTCTTCACACGTCAGTTATTTATTACATCATACCTTGTTGACCGTTCAGCATAGATACACGGTATTTGGCTTGGTAAATTACACCTGTTTGACGATTGGTTGCTTCACATGTATAATTGCTCAACTCACTCGGATCTTCAATCTTTAATACGATTTTTTATGGTAATGTAATGTTTTTTTTTGTTTTTCAATGGATTATAATAGATTGTTATGACGATAGATTTCAATAAATGTATGATATAATGAGTGAATGAATGATAATGATGATGATGATGAATGCAGTATTAACAGTTAAGATGAATAAAATGAGAGGAGATGATCACCGAATACATGATGACAATAATGATGATTGTTGTAGGGAAAAAAACCAAAAACAAATTGGTTAAATATTTTGGTTAGTAAAATGAACTAATTTAGTAATTATAGAAATACACTAAATAATAATAGAATATGTAACAATTATAACAATGAAGCAAGCACTATCATTTCATAATCATGTTAATCATGCAAACTAATCTATGCAAGACACAGATTTTAGTAACATGTTAAATTAACGTATCGGAAAACAAAAAAACTATGATGTTACGAATATTGTCAGCTAAACAGTTAGGTTTTTTGTAAGATATTATTGTTGTTTTACCCATTTATAATACGACACCTTGCTTGTAGTAAAGTGTTTATGATCTGAATAACTTGACAAAAAGGTGTAAATCAAAAATTTAAATATTACATACTTACGCCTGTTACTCCCAATAGAGTATAGGCCGCCGACCAGCATTCTCCAACCCACTCTGTCCTAGGCCTTCTTTTCTAGTTCCATCCAATTCTTGTTCATTTTCCTCATGTTTATCTCCATTTCCCGGCGTAATGTGTTCTTTGGTCTTCCTCTTTTCTTTTGGCCTTGAGGATTCCATGTGAGGGCTTGTCTTGTGACGTAGTTGGGTGCTTTCCTCAATGTGTGTCCTATCCACTTCCAGCACTTCTTCCTAATTTCTTCCTCCACTGGGATCTGGTTTGTTCTCTCCCGTAGTAGGTTGTTCTTATTAGTGTCCGGCCAACGGATCTGGGGCATTTTGCGTAGACAATTGTTAATAAACAATTGTATCTTCTAGATGATGGTTTTCGTAGTTCTCCAAGTTTTCGTCCCATATAGTAGAACTGTCTTGACATTTCTGTTGAAAATTCTGACGTTGGTGTTGGTTGACAGTTGTTTTGAGTTCCAGATGTTCTTCAGTTGTAGATATGCTACTCTTGCTTTGCCAATCCGCGCCTTCACATCTGCATCAGATCCACCCTGTTCATCAATGATGCTGTTCAGATATATAAAGGTTTTTACGTCTTCCAAATTTTCTCCGTCAAGTGTGATTCGATTGTTGCATGTTGTGTTGTATCGGAGAATTTTATTTTTCCCTTTGTGTATGTTGAGACCTACTGCTGTCGAGGCTGCTGCTACACTGGTTGTCTTCTCCTGCATTTGTTGTTGCGTTTGGGATAGAAGGGCCAGATCATCTGCGAAGTTTAGATCGTCCAGCTGCATCCAAATTTAAATATACCGTTCTTAAAAAGATAATCCGTCAGTGATTAAAGTGTCTAGAAGCTGATAGAGCACTAATTTGCAATTGATTGATTACTGAGTAGTGATTAATGTTATGTATATCTAGTTCTTTAGTAATGATTGAATTCTATCGATCGAGTTACATTACTATATTTCATGGTATTATAAATAGAGACCAATGATGACTCGAATAGTTCTATCGTCAAATCTGAAATTGAGAAGTTGACTAATGTAAATGTGGATATCACGTGATATATCAACTAACTGTTCACAGTATAAGGATCATAATATAAAATATCAACTGAATCAGTTTATTTCTAAATAGGATTTTCAGGATAAAGATCTAATCGTTACATTTCCTCCGTTTCTTTTTAAAGGGACGAAATTCGCACCATGTATCTTTTTTAAAACTTTAGTTCACTTAAATACAACGAATTATTCAAATGATAGATGTAAAAGTGACGTTTTATGTAATTATTTATGTTTTCTGGAAAATCAGCTTAAATGCTTCAAGCAACCATTGATTTATGGCTACCCGTTTAGTGGAATTACCAAAATAAAAATTTTATGTTATACAGTATGAAATTTAGTTCATTTTAAAATTAACCGAACATATTAAACTATTTTAACTTTTCTTAAATTATTTATTTAGTCCCATATAAGGACGTTACATTCATCCAATGCTTTGAGATTTTCCAATTGTGGTTTAGCTTTCATTGATTCATGATATCAACTATTGTTATGTTCATAAAATGTTTAGTTGTAACAACATTTGAATCATCTGTTGTCTAGTGAAAGTAAACACTGAAAAAAAAGAAACTTTTTTTTTATTTGTTTTAATGAAATATACATATAAAGTAATAAAAAAAAAGAAACTGAAATATAATAGATAACCCACCAATAAATACAATGTATCACCATTAGTTACAATGCGACCATTTTGATCAATCCAACGAAAATCAAATAATTCATTGATTTCAGGATCATTTTCAAATAAACATTGTCTCATTATAGTTCCTTGACGAAAATCTTCATTCGGTAATGGTTTGATAGTTAAATTTAATGTTTTATATTCATCATCAGTACTTAGTTCACCTGATGATGCTGGATAATTAATAAAATACATTCTAATATGAAAAAATAATTCTCTTTATTATTATTATTATAAAATGATCACTTCATTGATAAATTAGTAATAATTATGATGACAAATGAAAGAAAAACTTGTCAACCAAATTCATGATCTGGTACTTTGAATGGTTCTTTATTCTTTTCAAATTTAGTAAAATTAATTTCATGCAATCTACATGCAGTTAGTAAGATCACAAATGAATTATGTGTATAGGGGATGATTAACATCTTTTGCCTAAATGAATAAATGTATATATATATATATATATATATATATATATATATATATATATATATATATATATATACATGTATATTTCTTTTTAGAACATTCACATGATAAAGAAAACAGTTTTTTTTCAAAACAAACATTAGAAAATGTTGATAATAAACGAAAACATTCATTTAATGTTAGTACATATTGTAAATAATGATCAGTAAGTTATTCAATTCAACTATTTCGATAAATTTATGTTAGTACTATATTCGTTGTTACTATCCATATTACTGTTTGTCTATAAAGTTTGTTGTTTATTTTTAATTTTCAAAAAAAAAACATTACTATGTATATCATTATATGTGAAAATTATAACTTGAAATAATCTCAGCGATTGAAATTTAAATAATTCCAACGTTTCGTCCAGCTAACTTGTCTGGACTTCTTCAGGGTAATAATCAAAATCAAAATCATCAAAGCTATATATATATATATATATATATATATATATATATATATATATATATATATATATATATATATATATATATATTATTGATTAAATATAAGATTGAAGAGGAAGAATGTATTTGTAAACGTTTAGCGAATGAATTTCGAAGTAAATCCAACATTCCATCTGACAATTTGATCCATGCTTTTTTTAAGGAAAAAAAAGGGATTGCCAGGCGAAATGTTGAATTTACTTCGAAATTTATTCGATAAGATTTTATAAATACATTTCTTCCTCTTTAAAGTTTTACATTAACCTTGGTACCTAAATACTATGAAACTATTCGATTAAATGTATGATTGTTTAAAATAATGATTATTTATTTGAAATTTATGAAACCTTATAACTTTCATAGTTGATTATGATACACCAATATTTTGTTGATGTTTATTTAAATTAATAGTAAACAAAACGAACACATCTACTTTAATGTAGTTTATATAAATTGTACGTATATACAATTGTAATATAACCTTCTAACCTAATTTTCTATAAGATAATAATATAGAAATACTTATTTGTTGTTGTTGTTGTTGAAAAAAATATGTTTTTATATTAATGAACTAATGTAAATTATTTAATCGGTTTTGAGGAGTAATTTCAATGTGATTAAATAATGAATGATTATTTGATAGTTCAGTTCATGAGTCATTTAAAGCTAGAACATCATGGAAAACCTGGAAGCACTAGACGACCATTGGATACCGATTAGTTCAGCGGCAAGACCGATAAGTTCTGGGTTCGAATACCATTTGCGGGATGGTAGATGCGCACTGCTGAAGAGTCTCATACGAGAATGAAACGGCCATTTAGTGCTTCTAGGTTTTCCATGGTGGTCTAGGTTTAATTGACTCATGAATTCAATTATTAAATGACTAAAATCTTAACAAAACCCCTTCTAAAAATGATTATTTGTTAAAAAACATTTTGAATATATATCGATTGATAACACTGTGATAAAGTTCATTATTAGATTGATTTCATTTTCATATATTCTGAGCAACTTAATGAATAAGGAGAATCTTAAGTCGATTTGCCGGTTATACAGGTTCACAGGTGTAATTTCCAGCCAAATTACTTGAATTAAGGAAAACCTAATTAAAACATAGTTGAAATTGATTTGTAAACCATCTTGAATAGGTGATATATAAATTACTTATAATAATGAAATAACGTTTAACTTACCTAGTCGAAGATTTAAAACTTTCTCAAAAGTTTCATCATCTGATAATCGCGTAACTTCACATCGTAATGGATACTGTAAATGTTCCGGTCCAAAATTCGTTATATAAAGTCTAGCGTCAGAAGATATTTCTTTTATAGTCCCATCAGGTGCACGTTGTATCCATCTGTATGAATATTGATTACTATCAAGTACTGAACAACGAGAATAAAGCAATTCTCCAAAATTCACATCTAATGGTCCAGGATCTCCAGGATTCAGTACAATTGTAGGTTCAGAGTTTCTGTCACCACCAGCCATTGAAATATCATCTTCTATTATTCAGACATAAAAAATTAGAAAAGAATACAAGTGACTTAATTAAGTTATTACAATAGTTACATAATAATGTCGACTAAAATTATGCATTATTCCATGTTTTGGATGTAATGTTTTCTTTCTCATAAAACAATACAGCCACACTGTCATTTCAATAAATCTTCAGCTAAAGAACTACTGGTTACCAAATCATTTTTGTCAGGAAACTTAAATAATTAAAGTTATACTTAACTTTGAAAGATAGTAAGCTTTCTTCTCTACTCTTTGAATTATTAATCATTTAGTATAAATCATCGAAATGCTTTCATCAAATTTGTTTAAAATCGTTTTGTCTCAAAATTGAAATTGCTTGCATGTTGCAAAACAAAAATTAATGAGATGGATATTTAAAAGAATATTTCATTGTAAATTCTTCATTGTGCTTAATTAAGATACGTTATTGAAATGAAAATTTGTCTCTTGTAAACGGTATGGCAACAGAAATAACCAAACTATGCATTACTTATATTACTTATATAATACTATTCACATTACTTTCTATTAAAAATCAACTCATTCAAATCGGAGAGCAATAGATGATATTGAAACCTGTTTTTTACATTGCTCTTGATTTTCTTTAAATAGATTTATCGTAATCACAAAATGTATTGTAGATCATTAAGTAGGTGTTTTACATTAATTTAACAATAACAATACTTTGTACTTATAAATCAAATATTCAGTAGTATTTTGCTTAATCTAAGTAATATTTCATTTTATTCTAATTTTTTAAAGAGAATATGGACTGATATACATTTATGATTTATTAACTGAATAACTGAAGTATATTCAATAGAACTAAATAGAAATTTCATACACATAATTCCCATTATTATTTTAAAGAGAGCAAGAAAAAAGATTGGTGTAGAAGAATATAAATTCAGTTTATTTCGTTGGGTTTTCATCAGCTGCTTACAACCTAAAATATTTGAAAATCAGAGTTATTACAGTTATTGACATATTTATACATAAGAAAGTGATTAAGGATGAATATGTTGGGGACGTTTGATCCCCAGAACTCAATTGAGAAAGGACGTTATTTTGTAATTTTATTTAGAAAATTTAAATTTCTTTGTTTTCGCATCACTGGTGCTCTTTTCACTTTCATGTCGTATTTGTCACTGGGAAATACCTTAAATGCTATTGGTCCGTTGCGTCTCTTGGCATGCTATTTGGTAACTATTCCCAAGGACGGTTTTGTACTGTATATATACGTTTTGAATTGTGTTTGTTGTTATCGTTCGTTCCTGGCTGTTTTCAGAATATACTTCACCATTCCAAGCTTGGACGTTTCCCTCTAGTTAGCGGGGCTGGGATGCATCAATAGCTAGCTTACTGGTCTTTGGTCACCGAGTCTTGTTTCTCGTTCGCAGATTAAGTGAACTCGTGATATCTTCAACCCTAGCAAATTTGGCGAGCGTGGCTTCGGAAACATGGATCCTTCTAAACTTGAATTAATACTTGAGCAGTAGATGAAACTTATTCAGATGTTAGCAGATACAAAGCTTACGTCTAATACTCAACCAAGCAGTTCTAATCCTACTACTACTGCACCATCAGTTGATGGTATCGCTAACAGTATCGCTGTGTTTCATTACGATCCGGAATCCAATGTCACGATTGCTATGTGGTTTCGACGTTACGAAGACTTATTCGGACTTGACTTTGCTAACCAGGATGATGCTTGGAAGGTCCGCTTGCTGCTTCAAAAGTTGGGTCCTACTGAACTAGACAGGTATTGCAACCTAATTCTGCCTCTAAGCCCGCGCGATCTATCATTCACGGACACTGTCCAGTCATTGAGCCAACAATTCGGAGATAACTCTTCACTATTCAATGCGCGCTATCGATGTTTGAACCTCAATATGAACGAAGATGATGATTTTCTCACACATGTGGGTATCGTCAACCGAGAATGCAAACGCTCCCGGTTGAAGTCGCCTACTGAAGACCAATTTAAAGCCCTCATTCTCGTCTGCAGCCTTCAATCGCAGAAGTTCAGTGACATTAGAACACGCTTGCTAAGTCGATTGGGCCATGACCCAAAACTAACTCTTAATGATATTGCAAACAAATATCAACGTCTAGTCAATCTACAGTGTGACACTACGATGGTCCAGCGTGGTGGTTCAGATCGTACTGAAGTTCATGTAGTTCAGCAACCACCCAACTCGCATAATTCTGCCCCCAAAACATCTAGTTCAGGTCAACAGGCATTTTGTTCGAAGCTGTCCATATAAACAACATCGGTGCAGGAAATGTAATGCGGTGGGTCATAAAGATGGTTTTTGTCGAAAAAAGAAGCCGAGCAGCTCCAGAGGTACAAGAAAGCCTAGGCCTAGATCCAACACGAGTTCGTTGAGTCTAATAGCAAGCTGTCAGAACTCAACCCCAGGTGAGAGGAAATTTATTACCCTTAATATTAATGGGCGCTCGTCTACATTGAAAATAGACACTGCATCTGACGTAACAATTCTCTCACGAAAATATTGGATCAGAATGGGAAGACCACGCACGGTGCCAAAAACACAGAAACCTCGAGCGGCATGCGTCAGTTATCTACGTTTGTTGGGACAACTAGATTGTAAAGTTTCTTTTCACGATTCGACGTTTACCGGGGTATGTTACATCACATCAGCTGATCTTAATCTACTTGGTTTAGACTGGATTGACCGGCTACATTTAGCTGACGTTCCGTTAAGCACTGTATGCCATCTGGGGAAACAACCTCATGAACCTGAAGCATATTCGAAAGAACTAATAACGGAGTTTTCAACCATTTTCCAGCCTGTGTTGGGTCAGTGCACTGCTATGAAAGCAATACTTTGGTTGAAACCTGGAGCTAAACCTGTCTTCCGTCCGAAGAGACCATCGCCGTACGCAGTATTATCAAAAGTTGATGAAGAACTTAACCGCCTCCAACTACAGGGAGTTATTACGCCTGTCTCTTATTCTGCCTGGGCAGCACCCATTGTGGTTATTAGGAAGGTTAATGGCCCAATTCGAGTATACGTAGACTTTTCCACAGGTCTTAACGCAGCTCTCGAACAGCATCATTACCCACTGCCAGTCGCTGTGGATTTGTTCACGATGTTAAATGGTGGGAAGTTCTTTGCAAAGCTGGATCCCGCTGATGCCTATCAACAAGTGTAAGTGGCTGAGGATTCGAGAGATTTACCTACCATAAATACTCATCGTGGCTTGTTCCAGTAAAATCGCCTACCATTTGGTGCTAAAACGGCTCCATCTATTTTTCAGCAACTAACGGATACCATTCTATCGGGTATCCTGCGGGTCGCAACTTATCTCGATGATATCTTAATTGTTGCCACATCGTTAGAACAGCTTAGAGAACGCACGACAGCTGTACTACAACGTGTCAGCGATAACGGATTCCGATTACGTCCAGAAAAATGCCAGCTTTTTTTGAAGTTAGTAAAATACTTTGGATTCATTTTTGATGCCGCAGGTCGCAGACCAGATCCTGAAAACATCCGAACTATAAAACTGATGCCGACTCCCACTAATATCTCTGAGCTACGATCATTCCTGGGATTAATTAGCTACTACTTTTGTTCCGTCTATGCATGACATACACGCCCCGCTAAATCATTTTCTGAATAAGAACACCATCTGGAACTGAACAAAAGAATGTGAAGCTGCATTTTACAAGCTGAAAACAATTATAAGCTCTGAACTATTACTGACACGATCCGTCCATGCCTATCATTGTCGCTGCAGACGCTTCAGCTTTTGGACTCAGTGCTGTCATTTCACATCAGTTCCTGGACGCAACAGGGAAAGCCATTATGCACGCATCTCGTACATTAACTTCAGCAGAGAGAAAGTACAGTCAAATAGAGAACGAGGCTCTGGCCCTTGTGTTTGCAGTACGCATTACATAATCGTCTAATATGTATGTTTTTTCCATGAGTTCTAATCACTATTTCAATGTTCTGTAACCTTCCCTCCCAAACTTTATTCATTCGAAACAAAATTTAATGAACTCATTAACTCTATCAAAATCTTCGCTACATCATGATACATTTATTCATCTTTAATCACCCTCTTATGTATAAGTATGTCAATAACTGTCGTAACTCTGATTTTCAAATATTTTAGGTTGTAAGCAGCTGATGAAAACCTAATGAAATAAACTGAATTTATATTCTTCTACACTAATCTTTGTTCTTGCTCTCTTTAAATGGAAACTCAAATATAAAGCTTGGTAATGTTTTTGAATTAAAACTTATAATAATGTATTAATTATAAACTGGAAAGTGAAATGAAAATTGATTTACTTTCAAAGACAAAATTCATAAATTTATATTTTCTATCACTTTGTATTGTACCAAACTGAACATCAAACTTGTGATACAGCTAACGAGTCTTAAATTGGACAAAACATACGTTCTGAATTTCATTTCTAGTCAATATCCATTTTTTTTATTTACTGTTTAAATTGTTCATTTAAAACTTTATTGTATCTTGTATGTTTAAAGTTCAATAAGTAAGTGACATGTATGATGGCGTTTTCGAAAAAAGAAAAGTACAACAACATACCGATTGAAATTGATTATAAAGTTAGTTTAATTCTATTTCTTAAAATGGATCAAGAAATTATGGACATATGTTTTCATTTTATTAATCCACAAACTAAATATTATCGAAAGAACTAAAAAAAAAGTCTTATTAGGATGATAGATAGTTGAACTATTCCCTACCATTTCTTAAAGTGATTTTCAATAATGTATATTATCCATTAGGTTCTACTTTAGTTTTCTATGTCATAATCTTCATATTAAGATTTTTATTCAGTTAATTCATATATATTCAACTTTCAATCAGCTTTCAAGATGAAACACTGGGGGAAACAACGTTCTTTTTTCTTTGTCATAAAAAATTATCCCATAGAAATTCTATTACCTTCATGATAAAAATTTAAATAAAAACTAAA